GAGAGTGAATGAGATGAGTGCATTTATAATGCAATTTTTGTATGTAATTCATGTGTATAGTGTTTTTATTGAGAAGATTTAACAGACTGGAATTTTCATACGACACAAAATCCCGGGGAATAAAATTGTCGAAAAGGGGATTGTTGATGAAATAAACAACTTAAATTACACGCCTAATATCTCACCAATTGTCAAGAGTGTTAAAAGTTTTGTTTGTAAATTAGCTGCGCTAATTCTCTCTCCTAATGTGCCTTTTCGCTTTTGACTCGACACTTAGTTTAAATGGACTTGAAAAAGGTATTTTCATGACAGAATCAAATTACACATAATTTTCTAATGTTTAATTTAAGCACTTATGTCTATTCTGACAAAGAATGACACACATTTGTCAAATTTACACTTCTCTCGAGTTGAGTGTGTAGAAAGACATAATAATAGTGTCCACTTCAATGCATGTTCAGAAATAGATCAATAAACTTATGAGAAATGTTCTGGCGCCAAAACTGTCACAAATGTAATTCAATAAAACTTGCAAATTTATGTATGCTAACACATTCACGTCGAATTTATGCATCCATTCACACTTTGAGTTGAGAAATTCTTCAAACTAAATTGGGACTCTTGAGGGTATTTTGCTAAAGATATCACATTTTCCCTTCAATGCATTTCCCGCTATTGCTTTCCATACGATTCCGCATACATTGTATATACAATTGTGAGAATGTGCAACACTATAGTTAACTTGCACAAGCCGAAGAATTTCAGGGTTATTTGATAATTGAGTTCACCTCATAAGTTTAGTAGCCTCCTTCTCAGTATCGCATCGATTCGACGTTATCACAAATGTGATATTAAGTATTTCAATCTCACTCCGTACTCATATTTCAATCGAAAGGCATGCTCATATGGCTTTCACAACATTACTCACATGCCAGACTTCTTCAAAGCCATAGAATACACCCTCAAAACACAGGCATCGCCGGTGATCAGCGAGGTGGAAATAAGTCAAATAGCTACCGTGTCACCTAGAAATTTTGCCAAATTCCCTGAAATCGTGAAGAATATATTGAGAGTGATTTATGAACTGCGACACCCCAACCCAGAACATCTCGATGAGAAAGACTCGTGGAACATTTTGATGTCTTATTAGATTTTCACAAGGTGAAATTCAATTAATCTTGAAGGATCCCGCCACATTGTTTCCCTTGAACTCTCCCCTCCCCCTCTCCCTCTCTCAATATATATGTGATAAATTCTTCCAAGATGTTGTGTGCGAGAAAAAAATTTAATTTAATATTTGCCAAGCTAAATGAACGAGATGATTTGTTATTTATTGGATGTCTCTCTGTCATTTCATCTCTTGCTCCAATGTTCCTTTTCGACTGGAGCACCTTGAGGCCCCAACACAGGCGATTGGTGAGCCGATGCGAAGAGCAAGAGGCGCAGACAATACCGAGAGAAGCTAAAGAAGTCACCCGATGAATTCATACAATATGGACAATGAATAAATTCCAATATACAGGGGTGTTTGTGTGTGAACCTCTTGATCACTTGCCGTAGAGAGAGATTGAAGTTGGTTCACATGTGAAATCCAGAATGGCCATAAAGAAAGAAGTGGCATTTTGTTCAGGATGACGGCAAATAATTATTCAAGAAGCGCGAATCGCCTTTTTGTGTGCTTCTCACAGACTCTGTGTGTTTCTGCGTTCTTTTTTTTTACTCTCTTTCCCCTCCCACCCTCTTTGTCGTCCATCGTCAACTCACAGTGCGTGTCCCTCGGGCGATCAAATCTCTAGTAAATGTCTTAAATGGTGTACAGATTCTGTGCTACACACTCTTCCACCCTTTCTTCCCCCCAACATTTGCAGAGCGAGAGTAGCTCCATTTGAATTAATTTTCCGTCCCAAAACTTGACATCTTGCTTCTCACAAATTAATCCTCTCGCCAACAATGGAAAGTGTCACACAATCTCTAAATTTATGCTTCTGCGTGGAAATAAGAAAGCCCAAAATCGAAATTCTTGTTATATGTTCATATAATCTTCACAATTGTCAAGTTATTTGCTTCACATGTCTCAGAGAAGGCCTTCTTCTTTCTCTCTATACCACGAAGTGGTGCTCAAAATTGTCTTTTAATTGAGAAACACGAGTGGTAAAAGAAAACCACCATGATATATTCCATCCTTTTGCAGTAGAAATAACAAATGACAGCATATGTAATGAGAGTGACAAATAAAAAAGATGAGGAGGACAAAAAGGAGAATATAAAGGCATTCTTGTCGGCTATATTTGGACAAGTTTTCGAAAATGAAACCCACTGTCTGAACTCATCAGTAAATTGCTTGTAGAATTATTCCCTGTGATCTTCGTCTTGCTGCGCATTTGGCACAAAACACAACACAGCTAATGTATTAGTTGAGAAATTTTAACTCCAATATACAGAGAATATAAATTTACTTTTTTTTTGTCTTTTGCAGAATCTTTGGCGGAATGTCATAATCAATTTTTCTTATTGTGCAAATAGAATTTTCATCAGGAATCCTAATCGAAATTCGGATTAAAGCAGAGAAACACAGATCATAATTGTCAGTTGGCCAGCTGAAGAATCCCAGATGTACTGAAACCAGTGAAACATCATGCATACTTATTGAATTCCACTCACTGTCCTTTTTGCCACTTCTGCTCTTTCTCAATCCCTATATTTTCCCGCTCTTTTACCTCAACGTCTCGAAGAATTTATATCATGTGATATTGTATAAAATATATTTCCTCTCTTTTCGCATCCCCAGCGAAACAAGTTACTTCTCTCTTTCACCTCACAATCTCATCTCATTATTATCATGATCTCTCTGTGGCGCAGGAGCCAGAAGCTGCAGAGCTTCACATGGCCACTAACACTCACCCTTGGATTGCATTAACAGAGAATCGAGCAAAAAGGCAACAAGAGTGCAAAAAGATAATTCTTTTTGATTCAATGGAACGACGACGATGAATTATGTACTCGCCATTCGTGTGGTGGATAAATTCCTCATGCTCTTTTTTATATTTATTCATCTCAACCACCTCGTCCCTTTGCCTTTGGCCACACAGATTCCCTCTCTTGCACTCACTCCTCATGTCTTTCACCGCAAGTGCTACATAATATATGAAACAATAAATGCTAAAGATGAAGGTAGAAGAACAAGAATCCTCAAGTAAGCAGCGAAGGGGAAAAAAATCAATCGAGGCGCAAAAGAGAGACGACAATTATTGCATATGAACTTTTTTCTCCCCAACACTCCTCAAACCAGCATCGCATCCTCCGCACATTTCTTCTCCATCTCACTGCTCGTCTCCACATTCCCATCATCTGACTTTCCTTGTCGCATCCCCCATCCACGGCGCACTTGAGCCCATTAGTCCGACGCATATCGTCCAAAGAGAGCAACACTTGCTTACACAAAAAAACCATTCATCAAAGGCCACTTATGGATGAAGAGGGAAGAGAGATCACCAAAAAACCCACCAAACATCTTCGGCAAGGAAGCAATTGCGCCCATGGGCAAAAACAATATCAATTAATTAACATCACATACAGCGCATGAAATGATAAATACGAGAACCATAACTATAACTATCACAACAGCATCTCAACTCCTGAAATTACTTTCAGATGAAAGAGCATTTTCACACGACACAAACCTCCTCTCCACACCACGAAGAAACCACCCATGAAGTGGACTCTTATCCTTGCAATTCAGCACAACAATCCACCACCAAGCAAAAGTGTTAAATATGGATGAAGGAACAACTTTGGAGACAGAAATAGCAGAAGCATTCATTAGAGAATGTTGAGAGTATTGTGCAAAATTTCCTATTTTCGATTCACACTCATGTGCTATGTGGAAAGTAAGCCGCAATTTAAATTAAATTATTAATGCGACAACAAAACCCGGTGAAAACGTGTTGAGGATTTCAAGACTTAGTGGGTGTGTTTTTCAAGGATGAAAAGTATCTGCATTTTGCACCAGAAACTTTTAGCAAACCTCAAATAAACATTGAGTTTTCAGGTGCAAATCGACCAAATATTGCATTTGTGTCATTTTCTATAAATCTATTGAGGAGATATTTATTATTTGCGTACAAGAAGGAAATTGGTAACTATGTTTAATTCAAAAGCTAAATCTCTGAATGGATTGTATCAATGATTAAATAGAAATCTCATACGAATTTTCACCTCATTGCTTAGTAATACTACACTCTTGTGCACAATTCACCCAATAAATGTAATATAATCAACAATGTACCATTCTAATTAAATATTAACTTCCTATTTCTTCCTATTTGTCCAAGAGCGATGCGCACCAAAAGATAGCAGACTTTGCTTAACCTCTAGAAGTGAGTCTTGTTAGACGCCTAAAGGGATATTGGCACAAAAGGACGATAAGCAAACGATGGGTAATTCTGTCCTAAACTTGGAAATATGAGCACTTTTTCAGGAGAATTTCAAACCCTTTTGAGACTTCAACTTTCTAACTTTCATCACAAACTTTCATGCTACTTTATATAAGACTTCTGGGACACTTTAAACATGATACATTTAGAGAAACATGAGCAATGCCTAGATGCACATCTAGTTGTGAACTTATGTGCTTCAGAACATATTGAACAGATCCAATTAGATGTGATAATATCTCATTAAAAAATAATATTTCAAACTTCCTCTGGATTTCCTCCCTAAATTTGCTCCAAAGTTTATTCCTTGTTATTTTTAATGAGCTTCGAAGCTAGACAAAATTATATATTGAGCACAAGAAGTATTTATTACATGTATTAGAACCCCCCAGAGAAATTCCCCTCCGGGAGAGTTTGTAAATTCCCCACACAAAATTTCCACTGGAATGCACTTTGCAAAATGATCAAAAGCTCACGGAATTTTCTTCAGCGCCACAGCAAGATTCTCCAACTATTTTCAATTTCACCCGCATAACAATTGTATCAGACATAATTCTATCCACTAACCTTCTTTCTTCTCAGCTTTTTCTGCTTCTTAGGCAACTTCTGCTGCTTGGCATTCGTATTCTCATCGGAGCTTGAGTCACTCTCACTGCCATTGCATGCTGAACAGCACGAACTGCTACTCGAGGCGTCAGTGGTGCTCTTCTTCGACGTGGTGGCCCCGCCGGCCTTTGTGCTCTTCACCTTCTTCTTATCATTCGCCTTCCTCAGCGGTGATGAATTGTTATTGAGCGCCTTCTGACTAACACCCCTCGGAATGGCTGCTATTTTCATCTTTAGCCCACTCTTGTCGGAGCTGAACAGCGCAAAGCGCGGGAAAAAGGGTCAGCGCGTTAGTTTTTCGGCTCTTCCTCTCCACTTTCATTCACTCTATTTGCTACTTCTCTCACCTCGTCACGCTGAATTGAGGCGCCTGTGTGGGTGATTTGCGGCGCTTCGGATTCTCCGACGCCGTGCTCGAGTCACTTTCAGTGCTGCTGCTCGTGCCATCTGAATCTGTGGATGAGCTGCTGGACTCCATGCTCTTGCTTGTGATGTCCGGAGGGCCGGACTTTAGTGCGTTCACATCAACTGCAATAAGGAAGAGGTAGGAGATGTTATTTCACTACTTCAAAGCCAATATGCAGTTTTGGGAGTGTGTTGATTTGGCACTCAAACACTGAACGCACAGAATGCATTCATCCAAGTGTCTCTGATTGCATCTACTGAAAGTCAAATTTCATTGAGTCTCATTCCTCATTCCTTGATTCTGACGAATGACGGTAGAATGGCAAAAGCGAGCGTTTTTTTTTCAGGTCACTTCACTCATTTATGTGTGACAGACGATGGGATTAAAAGAGATTTAGGATCACACGCTGAGAGACACCTGGAACAGCCGATTCTGTGCATCTTCGCGAGGTGACTGACCGACCTCCTTCGCCAGTCATCCCGTGAGTGCGTGAGAAAGTGCCGATGGCTGCACGCTCTGCACTCTCAGGACTCCCTTCCGGATAGCGTCCGTCTTACCAGTGCTCGGCAGATGGCTGGCGTCTCCGTGAAGCTGCTGAAGATAGCTCCACGACCGCGTCCGTGCATCAGTGCACTCCGGCAGGCCGGGCGGTGCATGCTGAACACCCGGGACCTGGGGCATTTTCCACCCACCCGCGTGCCGAACTAGTGAACTCTCAGTGCCTCAATCACTCAATTAGTGGCAATTGCGGTGCAGGCATGATTAGCAAAGGATGTTAGGTCCGAGGGTCAATCTGCAAGTATGAGCGAAGAGATAGAGTGCGCAGGAAAGGCGTGAGAAAGATGGTGACGCTCAGTGATACCCTCTGTGTCAGTTCAAGGTTCACTTCCGGGAACCCTCTTGTCCGCATTCTCCACAACCCATGCAAGCAAATGGCCCTGAAAGTGGCCCAAAACACTCCCTGCAGTCTCAGCGAGGGACTTTTTTTGGAGGCAAGCCGAGAATTTGCACGGAAATCCCGCCAAATGCCTCGGACATTGCTTCACTTTTGGGGTCACTCAAGCACGAGCAGGTGCTAAATACAGGGGTTAGACTTTCACTCTTTCCCGCCCTGTCCACCCACTTCTCCATCCAAATCACCTCTCCCCGTCTTCCCCGGACACTTCCCTTCACCCTAGTGTGCCTAAAAGTGCATCTACTGTGCTCTATGCTGAGGAAAAGCATGAATTATGTTTACAAAACATAGCTGCACATTCCAATCCTAAAATGGCGTCGCCACACAGTGCAACTTTTCTCGCTCATATCTCACCTGGAATTGTCCTGAGGAACTAACCACTTGCATTAATCACACCACTAGTCACTCCACAACACGCAGAATGTGGAAATTTGAGGGAATTTTCACGGTTATTAGGGAAAATTTGCCCTTTTCTCAAGATACTGACACTCGCGAAGTGACAAATGCCCACAACTGGGGTTGCCATGTGGCAATCATTGTTTTCATGGCGACCGCGGCGAATTTCTCCGCTGTGCTGTATTTCCGAGCAGCGATGCTTTTCCCGCGTGAAACTAGCCAAAATTCCCGAAATTATCATTTTCTGTGTTAAAAATACCCAAAACACTTCATAAAATTTATTTAGAAGAGATTACACTTTCCCAGAATGGCTTACTGAAAAAATCACTTCTAGTATCTAATCAGAGAAGAGCGAGAAACCATTTACTATCTTATCACTCAATCGGGCTTATCAGAGAGTCATTCTACCAATTATTTCCTGCTCACATGGACATATCAACAGATACAGGTACTCATTTCCGAGAATATCACCCACTTACTTTGCAGTGCACATTTGAAACTCATTCGATCGACAATTGGGCTACACAGAGCATAATAACTACAGTAAAAATTGATAAGTGCTGCACTCGACAGAGTGAAGTGAATGTGAATTTACAGATTTGGTAAAGTACACTTAACTAAATTAAAAGTGTTTTCATCAGAAATTGCGTTTTATCCATTTCAATGTGAGTAAATTGTCGGTTTGGCAATTGCAAATAATCTGCTGAAAGGGCTAAAATTTATATTTCGATTCAGTGAAAAGGTAATTGTGGTGTAAAGAATTGAAAAGTTTGGTATAATACTGGAAATCCTTGTGAAAGTGTGGGGACGAAATGTGAATGTTCTCTGATGGTTTGCATTAGTGATAACTTTGGCAACATTTCAACGGAATTGGTTATCGTGTTTGGTGAAATTGCAAGGAAATCGACAAACTAGTTTGCACAAACTGCAAATATATACGATATAAATTGTGTAGGCGGAGCTTTCTATAATACTTTCTCTTACGTGAAAAACAATTTGAAAAAAAAAGTTTGGTGACTTTTGAAGGCGTTTAAGGAGAAATTAAATGCAGAATGTTGCCCATAAAACGCCAAAAGCATGCGGAACAACGAAAGCAGCGCAACTTAAAAGCCTTGCAACCTGAAAGAGGTAATTTTATAAGGAGCTTTTTAATACATTTTTGGTCTTTTGATGTTGAATCTTAAATTCTCTAACCTTTTTGCACAATCCTTATGTGACTGAAACTCTTCTCACACGTTCTACTTTTTCCTTATGGCGCTGAAGATTGATATTTATTGCATTTTCGAGCAGCACAAGCTCGGGATGTTCCTTTTGCCGCCCAAACAAACAAAGAGGGTATTGTGCAAATGAATTGCTTCCTTCAGCAATGCTTCTGAGTATCACACCCTCCGTGTCCTGTGGAAAATCCATTTTGAAATTATAACTTTAACACACATATAAGGAATATTTGGTCCCATGTTTATCTACTATGTTTCTGGGACTGTGCTCCGGGAAAAAGTTCCCTTCTCAAGAGTGCCAAAGTGGGGGAGGGTATTTAATGAAAATATCCTTATCCTTGCATGTTATGTCTTTGAGAATTTTTTTGTCTATTAAATTAAATGGTAAACAGCCCATGAGGTGACGACGGAAGCAATTAAGTCCTCACTTATGGGAATTTTCCAACACACACTGTCAAGGTGAGGCTGTGTTGTGGTACACAATGGTAGGAATGCTGTAATGAAATTTTGGGGAAGATTTTCAAGAGGAGAATTAAATTAATTAGAATCCGAGAGAGAGAGAGAGAAATTGTGTCACTCCTCGTGAGCTTAACTTATCTCTTTAGAAATTTCTTCATTCATCTTCAAAAGGCTCGATTAGCAACGCCGAATTGATTAATTGCGCATAACCAACACTATTCCCCAGTATAATTGAATAGGTAATTAAAAGCTATATGTAACTTGAAATTTATGTCGCTTATTAGAAAGTTCACTGACACGCTGAGAGACATTCTCTATACTAATTTAATTACAAGTTTTCCTCTGGGAATCCAAGAGGAAATCCGGCGAGATAAGGGAAAGTTCATTGATATGAGATGACTGCAGCAAAAAGTTTCTTTTTGTTTTGATTTGATGAGAAGCTCTTCCTTTCCCGCAAGAGCTTCAACGAAAGCTCTCTTCTGCGATTCTAATAAAAGCTATTTTCTTCTTCGAAAAATGTGTAACTCACAACAAAATCTATTTAGTTTTGTAGTTTTAATTCCGTCTTCCCTGCTTAACTATAGAATTTGAGAGAGCGAGATAAGAACTTGTGCAAATGAAGTGAACTGAAAGCACTGGAGTTTATTGGTTGCGAAATTCCAGTTTGCAAATTGAGATGGGGAAAAAATAAATTTAAAAAATTTCTTTTATTAAATACACTAGAACACATAACTACCACGCGAAGATGAAATCAGGGATGAAATTCATTTTTCATCAAAATATCGTGTATCCTGAAAATGCTGGGAGCAGATGGATGTGAAAGTTAAATTATTGATTCTTGCTGAAGCGGAATCTGGGTTGGTGCTCAAATTTAAATCAATCAATCTATGAAACGAGTTTCCAAAAAGTCTTATTTAATTTCTCTCCTTCTGTTTCAGCCTATTGTATTCACAGTATAAAAATTCACATCCATAAACCTATATTCATTCGCAGAAACGGCTCTAATTCACATAATTCTGTTGAACAAGGCTTTTCGAGTGGTGGTGCTCCTCTTCCTCGCCGCAACAGTAATTCCAGTTTTTGTGTATCTTCTGGTGTTCTCGCGGGAAATTGGACCGCTGGAATATGATCGGAATCAAGTGGGAACATGTGGCCATTTGAGCAGCTTGCATGTACCTTGTGGCATTTCGGTGAGATTTCAGTACCTGGCATGCTCGTGGGTGGAATTGTTCTTATGTCACTGAAAATTGAATGCTATGTTCATTATATACTTTCGTAGAAACGTATCTTTCTCGCATTCCACTCACAGAGTGGCAAGAAGCTTTTGCAGATAAATGTCGGAATCTCTACTGACACTCCATGTAAAATCATGTGGCGCCAAGCCATCAACTCTGTGCATCGCCTTTATTGTTATTCTTCACAGAATATCACTTCTCAGCATTGTCTCGAGCGAGGTTGCTGCTACAGTCAAAGAGATGAGTGCTACCACTCTTTGCCGTCAAGACACCAATACTACAATCCATCTTACATAACACCAAACTTAGCTATGCAGCTTGAACCTCTGCGCTGGGTGACTCCACTCGGAGTTCCGGCACTTCCCCATATGCAGCTCGCCATTGAAGCTATATCGGATGCTAGAGCACGACTTCGTGTGTGGAATCCGGGAGCAAGTCCCATTCCCGTGAGTCTGATTCCTCTAAAATTTATTAACACTTAAAGCACCGAAATACTTTAAGCACTGCCTTCCTCTCAATTCCGTCTGCTATGAGACGAATTCGTGGGAATTTTGTGCTCATTAGAATTTTCTGCAGCTCTAAGCATATAGAAGCCTCATTTAAAGCCAAGATATTTATCAAAATGAGGCATTTTAAGAGCATACAAGTTTTATCATCTTCCTTATCTCTGGGATTGAATGTCCTTCCACATAAGCCGAAAAATCTCTGAGCGCTCGTTTGGAGTTGTATGACACGTTTGTCCCATAATTTTCTGATAACTTGACAAAATTTTCGCTCCTTATGAAGACTCTAAAGAAAAGTATATCCACAGAATGCTGTTCTGAAGAAAACTGCGGTACATTTTAAGTTCCTTCCATTCCTTTAACTGATTTGCTTGGTCAAGTTTTCAATGGTTGTTTACTGTCTTACCGTTCGAGCCATTGAAACTTTCCAAGTGGGATATTTTAAAATATATAGTTTCTAATTATATACATAGGATATTTTCATGTTTATTTATTATAGAGTTTGCTTGAATTATTTGTTCATTAGCACTGGTAAAACGTTTTAGCTGATTGCAGTAGTAATTTCAGTGATAAGTCATAAAGGCAATCAGGGAAAATTTACTGTCATTCATTGAATAATGTCTCATAAATTCTCACATAATCAATTGTTCATTAGTGTCGTCATGCAGAAATTTTATCATTCCTTCTTCTTTCGTACAGATAGCAGTGTATCTCTTAAATATCTGCAATAAAAGAGACTTTTTCCCCGGTGGACAGGTTGATGCTGTGAATGCTGAATCACCCGAAGGTAATTCCACGGAATATTCCTACCGTATTTTCCAGCCAGTTGTTTATGCGGAATTCCGCCGGAAGAGCGATGATTCACTCCTGTTGACGACCTCACGTGGGCCGCTCATCTCAGCACAGAATTATCTGGAGTGGAGCTTTTTTCTCGGCACCCACCATCTCTTTGGTCTGGGTGATTTGCACCTGCAGCCAGGCTTTAGAGTGGTCCTCCTGAATAATGAAACCACAAATGCCGTCCCCTTTATTCTCGCCCACAGTAAGTTCAAAAGTACATCAATCTCGCGAAAGAGCAAATATTTATTACACATTTTGCTATATTTTACCGTGAAAATATTTTTTTAACCACACCAAAGTGGATGCTGTCTGTAAACACATTTTTTCCTCAAAGTACATACCATTTTTCAACTCTTTTGGGAATATTTTAACTGAACAACACTTTACGTAGAGCTTGTCTAATATACAATTCGAGATAATTTATGCTTTGTTGCAACAGTGCACTCACATCGCAGTGTAATTTTGTTCTTTGTATATAGTGTAAATTTAAGTTCATCAATATCACTGAATTCAATTTATTCTCACATTTTACTTTCTCTTGAAAGTGTTCTTTAACATAGGGGTAATATGGAATTTCTAGACGGATTCTAGGTGTTTCATTCAGTTGAGATTTGGAGTCCTGAAGAGACACGTTGATGCACAAGAACTCTGCCAACTCCTGTGATGCTGTGATAAGTCGAGGATAGATAATAACGTGAAATTCCACAAGTTTTAGATGAGAGTAAGCTGCTTTGGCGGAGATATAAATAAAACTTTCAGCCAACGTTGAAAATGAATATCATCATATTTTGTGGTTATTTTCGGAATTTCAGTGGTTTTATCCGCTTTCACGACACTTTGCCAGAAATTAATTAAGTTTACTCCTGCATTTCACGTTGCACACTTTGTTATAACGATCTGGCGCTTGATCTGGATTCTGCATGAAGTCATGGCAGTGTTTTTTCTTGTTTCTAGATGCCACAACACAGACATACCATGGAATCTACTTGAGTGCACCATATCCGGTTGAAGTGGAAATAACAGAGAGCTATTTAGTGATTGTGAGAGCAATTTTCAGCATGTCGTTCCATGTGGAAATTCTGTGTGGTCCAACTATTGGGCATGTAATGAGCCAGCTCTCTCAGGTGATTGAACATATTCCAATGCACTTACCTTCTTGGTTTTACGGTCTTCACATTTGTGACACGAACGCCGAGAGAAACTTAACGGAGTCTTTGAGTGAGATGCTGCACCTCCTTGATGTTGCCCAGATAGCGAGGCAACCTTTTGACACACATTGCATTAGAGAACACCTCTTGTGGTTGGACGACAACGACAAGGCTGTGGAGGATGACATATCGAGTGGTGTGAAGATGCTGCGGAAGAATGGGAAGAAATTCATCGCTCCCGTGACTGCGCTCCTTGAGGTCAATCGGAAGAGTGGGGCGTTCAGCAGAGCGCTGGACAGGGGATTACTGATGCGGCATCCCACCATCGACGAGCCCTATATTGGTCGCGTGGGAAATTCAAGTGTAGCTTATGTAGATTGGCTGGGAGCCGATGAAACTTCCTTGAGCGAGTGGCTCAAGGGTATTTGGCCAACGAATATATCCACAGATGGATATCTGTTGCAATCCAACTGGATGCCTGACGAGAGTGAGGAGAGGAAAACTCCGAGGTCATTTCCATATATTTCTGAGGATATGATTGATGCCAGCAGAGGTACGACGCCGTGGCTCATTCGTCAGGGTGACACGGCGGGTAATGTCTCCATTTTCTCACACAATTGGGTCTCGTCGGCCCAAATTTACGCACTACGGGACATTTTGCCAAATGACACGTTCATCATGAGTGAAAGTTCGCTGTTTGCAAATGTGCCCATCACTAGTCGCCAAACACCCTCCAGTTGGACTGAATTGAGACATCAGGTATGTTGAAATATTCAAGAGATTCGTATCGCTATAATAGGACTCATCATTACCATAACCAAGCATACACACGACTTTGGATGACAAACAGACACGATAATTAAACTCATGTAATAGCGAGAGTTGTCGTTGTTTGTATAAATTCGAACCCATATATTCTCATGTTTCAAACTGCCAGTGTGATTTTGAAAATTTTATAAATTTCAAGAAATTATGCTTGCCCTTTTGTAGGTTCGTCGCACAATGGGTCAAGGGATTTCTGGAGTCCACTTTAGTTCGGCCAATATTTGCGGAGACGATGAAACACTTTCTGAAGAATTATGCGTGCGGTGGTATCAATTTGCATCGTTATCACCCATGTATAGAGTGGCATCGTCAAAGGCACCCAACAAGTTCAGCAGCTTTGCCGAGAGACTGATAAAGGCATCGACATTGAGACGATACTCACTCCTTTCATACATGCAGACGGTTGTGGCAAGTGGAAGACCTTTACTAACTCCCATGTTTTACGAATTCCCACATCTAGTTAATACAACAGTGAATCTAACACAGCAAGTGCTTGTTGGTCCATCGCTCCTCTTTGCTCCGGTCCTATTACCGGGTGCTCTGCATATCAATATCTTTTGTCCGGCTGTGTACTACGAAATCGATGGTGGTCAAAAGCTGATGGCCAACAAATGGACCCAACTATTTGTGGTGGAAGCAGATGCGCCTCTGTTCATCCGATCGGGGCACATTGTGCCCATTCACAAATCAATGGTAAGGCAGAAGAATTACAATTAAGCGGGATTCTCATCACGCCAAGGCATCGCAATATGAAAAGGAACTATTTTCAGAATGCTATGTCAATCACGGACGTGCAAACCAATTCAATTCAACTGCGTATCGCTATGGGTATTGAGAAAAATGGCATAATGACTGCGACAGGAGAAGTGATTGTGGAGGAAGGACAGAGAGTCATATTTAATGCCACTCTCAGGATGCAATGGGTACGTTTAAACTTCGACCCACAGCTCACACATTCAACAATGAATATTTTACTGATTCCTGCTAATCCTAATTAGTTTCAGTTTCAACTGACATCTCACCCAAGTCTATATTGTTCCGGGAACTCGAGCATCACCATTGAGAGCGTGAAAATTTACGGAACTGGATTCTCAGATATTGGCATTCAGACACTCTCCCGTGATGTGAATCATGATTTGTGCAAGGATAATTTGAATTTCATAACGACACTAACTCCATCTGCCAATCAATAAAGCCGGGCCATTGTCAGTGTCTTTAACACCTTGCATTTTCAATTTCCAGCTTTGACCTGGCGGAAATGGCTCCCACGCACACTATATATGATCTAACGAACACATATAAGAGTCGAGTACGCTGATTTGGGTGTGGGACTATCACAATCTCTTTTGTGAGGAGAGGAGAATAATATATCTTTCCGCATTTTCACCTCCAACGCAAAAGTCTAGCGTGGATGCGGAACTGACGAAGGTTGAAAAGGCGAAAACACAGTTTTATAACGCTATCACAAGAAGCTTCAAATAGGGAAATTTAATATCAGATTAAGTGAGTATTACGGTGGGTTTCTTTTTGTTAAAATCCAGAGGTGTGTATATTACATTATATAGGGATGTTCGTAAACATTGAACTTCACCGTGTGATTTTCAGTGGCAGCCACAATCCCTATATTGAGTGAAAACCACTGTTATTGAATACATACAGGAAAACCCCTTTTTTCTCATGAATATAAAAATCTGCTATTTTCACACAGAAATTGGCAATCCACGGGAGATAATAGTAAAGAGTATTTTACATACGGAAAGGGTTTTGATTTATTTTAGTTCATTTCCATTTCACCAGCTTATGTATGTGTTTAACATGTAAATAGACACATAAGAGTTTGTTTTTTCTCTGATATATAGCGATAGGTTTTATCATCACCATGGAAATTTCGTTTAATTAAATGTACCAAATCACTTTAGCTGAAACGACTGCCTCAAACGAAGTGTTCATAACATGTATGTCAGTAACATATTCATGTTATGCCCAGTTTTTTTTCCTACGAAAGCACTGAACCCAAATTAAGATAAGTCATTAAGATCAATTAATTTCCCAGCAATTCGTCGACTGGCAGATGGAAAATTGTGAAGAATGACTCTTCTGAAAATATATACATAGGGGAAGCTATATTAGTAGTTTAGTGGGGCACATTTGCGTCCAGTGAAAGAAAGGAAGAAGAAATGTTGCTGGCTCCTAAATGTACAAGGTATGAATTTCTCTATATTTCTGGTTGAGCTTTTGCAGTCAAACGAAGCAATTTTCTTTATCATTTGGATGGCAGGACGTAATTTTTAGGGCAAGTCTCGCCCATAATTTTTTGTCGGTTACGCCCTTGCCGGAGCTGAAGTCTGTCACCAAGTTGAAAAATGGAAAACCATTTCCCTTGACTAAATATCCCCAGAGAAGTCACATGAAGAGTGAAAAAATATGATTTACAAACCAAAAGCAACAAAATTGTTCCACTCTTATTGAAAATGATATTTTTTCATAAATCATAATTTTAAAAGAAGAATATAGATACATGATGACCATTGCGACCATTGCAATTTTTAAATAAAACTTTTAACAAGACTGCCAAAACTTGTAGCTTCGACTTTTGGCAAACTCCAAAAGTGGAGTGACTTGAATAATAAAAAAAAAGTGGCACATTTCTGTACAGTTTAAAGAGATGATTGAAATTTAATTCTTCTTACAAAACTAATATGACTGTTATTTTAGTTCATATTATATTTCTCTTTATATGTGAAATTGCATCTCAACGATTTTAATCGTATTCTACATTCGAGATACTCCAGGAAAGGTAATTTAAATCTCGGTGTCTTATGGCTCTAAAGACTTAATAAGTGAGATGAGTAAGGAAATCTCTTTGATAGAAAAGAAGCAACAAATTCTTTCATAGTGGAACATGCGAGCGACTCAATTTCTATACAGATCAATTTTATTGAGCTCGAAAGTGCACACTTGGAAGTTTATAGCTAGGATTCTGGATTTTCTCAAAGATTTTCTTGAGAAAAGTTTTGCCGTAAGTGTTTCGCTGACAATGGTGTTATATTGAACTAAATTAAGTGTGCAAGTGTCTGGTAAATAAAGATTGTACTTCTTCAGACACTTTGTGCTTTATAGTTTGTTCCATACATTTTGCCGTCCGATCCGCTCTGCAGTCTTATACTAGTTCTATTTATAGTATTTGACATACCGGTATACATTACCGCCACGCGGAAAATGGTAAACTTCGGCCGAGTTTCCTGTACAATAGAAATGTCAATTTTCTTTTTGAACAGGAATTAAATTTGGCTCCAAGCGTAGACCTTTTTCAGTCAATGAAATAACTCAATTTACGACATCATCAATGAGAATCGTTTAACGTAAATTCTCTCACTTCAAATTTCACCCTGAAGTAAGATTCCTTGGATATGTACATATAGTGTACATAATATAAACTTCAGCTCTCTATAGTGTTGAAGATTGTATAACAAATGACAGGATATTTTGGGCAATTATCTTCCAATTGAAGCAAAAATGTGATAGAGATAAACTCAATGGTAATTCGAATTTCCAGATGAAGAATGTTTTGCCTCTTTGAGCTAATTCGGTATATAATTGCGTAAAAAAAACAAGGTAAAATAAAAAATAAAAAATAGCAGCAATTATAGCGGAAGCAAAGTTTCACATAACTTTAAATTGGATTTTCCCTATAAAACACCCACGAAAACAACCTGTTGATTTGATTAAAAGCTCCAGAGATAAATCCTGGGTGAAAGTATATCTGAATACTGGTGTTGAACGCATTGCGTAGAAGCATAGTATTTTTTTTGCAAAGAGTAGAGATGAGCGTTCTATCTCTTGTATATTCAATAACCGTAAATAATACTAATTTGATAGATCCAAACACGGTACAATTATTAGTTCAAATAGTTCATGTTACACTGTTACAATGTTGCCAATATTGAAAATGTTTCTATGTACTCCTAATATAATAGAAAATCATAGTGGAATCAAGAGTGCATAATGTTCAATTATGTCTTGAATGAATACAGTGAATTTTTGTGAGAGTGAATGTCGATAATCTATTTTGCCAAGATTGGTTTCATATTGTCAGAAATTAAACAAAGTGATTCTATAACAAAAAAGTAATCGCAACCATTTACTAAATAATAATAAAGGCGGTAGTAAAGTTAAGAGATTGTTCTTTTATAGTTCGCCAACATGCTTTCTCAAATGTTTTTATGGGGACTTTTCTTTTCTTCCCGACACAATAGTCTATGAAATTTTGAATTTCTTATGTCTTGCAAACTTGATGGTTTAAGTGTTTTCAAGACACAAGTCAAGAAAACTTGATCTGCGGAAGACAAAAGTTTTCAATATTTTTAAAATTACAAGTCTCGTAAAAGGTGGAAATAAATGACAGACAGTTTTCTTTCTGAAAAGTCACTGCAGCAAAATACAACCATAAGGAAATTCGATGAAACGTCCGGATAAAACCGTAATTTTGTAATGGAAATGGAATGTTCCGCCGTTAGTCTGATATACGAAAGATGAGAAAATTGAATTAAGGTGCATAAGTTGTCGCTATGCCATCTGTGAGACATGTGCCAAGCGCAGTCGTGAAAAGACGAGAGTTGCTGATAATTTAGTCGAATTTCGGCTCGCAAAAAATGCATTCAGTAACGGACTCAGGACGTTAGGATATTTTCCATTCAAGCTAAAGACTGCACTTTGTACATACATACATATATGAAAATAACATTATTCAGTCAAAGATTTATTGGCTCATTCAGCTAGAATAATTATAGTGCCTTCTTATCAAGGCATTTCATCCATATAGCGATAAAATAAATAAGTTTGGCCTATCAACCCTCTTGTATAATTCAAATATGATTTATTCATCATAGCAAAAGTGTTTTGAGCTTGAATTTTTGCATGAAGTGTTATTAGTATATTTACTTATTATTCTTCATATTTTGGAAGATGTTCATAAAGATATGAGATTTTCTTAAATATTGAGTATTTTACATTAAGTTTTCATCGTAGAAAATTGAACAAACGGTCTTAGAAGAATTTAGAACGCAGTGAATTTCTATAAAAATTATTTTTATCGATTCTTTTGTAATTAAGCAAAAACAAGACGCAATATAGGAAATATAAAATGCGAAGTTAATTTCACGAGATCCAACGCTTTTGCTCTTAATTTCCTTTGATTGGATTACAGCAGCTACACCGTAATTACATTTCTTTGATCAGGAGGTGAAACGTCATCAGAAACCCTTTATATTTCTCTCTGTTTTTTGCACTGAAGGTGGATTTTCAATCCACTTCCATGTTTCTGTTCTATGATTTTTCTTGATACCTTTGGCACTCATGTGAAACGCATTGTTGAGGCAGGAAGTGTGAGGAAAGGAGAAAAAAATAATATTGATTTTCCACAGTTCCACTGACCCATGTGCGGGAAAGGGAGAAAATGTGCTGTCAAAGTGTGTGGAACATGGAAAATCTCTTAAGGTATAATGAATATTAAATTGTATGGAATGGAATGGAATCTTGTTCAAATAACGCATGTACAAATATTTTATTTAAATGTAAAATGTGCCAATGGCTGGTTCTGGTGTTGTGCAATTTCATCAATACATAGAATTTCCAAGGCAATAAATTCAATTTTCATTGTTATATATTTCATTGAATTTTCTTCTTTACAATCCATTGAGAAATTTCACCCGGCGAATTTTCATTGATTGTGCCACTTCCTGCGTAGGTTTCTTATAACCTTCACCCTTGCGAGGGTTCTCATTTATCATGATTGCCTGAAACATAAGAAGATTTCAAGGCATTATTTTCCCATAGGAAATTTTTACAGTTCCATTTTTTTGTTATAAGAACCGCAAAATTCTCGTGCCTGTACAAGATAAAGCAAGGGAGCCAAGAAGGGAGCCTTTGCCTTTCCTTTAAATTGAGAAAATACATGTTGTCTTCTATGGCAATGTAATTTGATATGACGAATGTCTGTGAAATTGAGTAAAGTAGAGTCAATTGAAATATGCAATATACTCTCTTCTATGTTCTATGTGAATTATCTAAAAAATTCATGTTTGACTAAGTGTCTGACCTCGTGTTTCACGTTTTTCTTTATTAAATTGTACCCACGTAGGAAGGAAAAATTGACAAATTTCAAAAGTTTTAGATCATGGGCAGTGTGTTGTTGCATGGAAACTTCCTAAAGTTGTATTTCAAATGGAAGTCATTTAAACTTTGACAATAACAAATTCCTTGTTAAAAAGTATAGTGTAATTTCAAAGTTGGTGAAAATTGGCAGTAGAAAATAAGAATTTTTTTTTTAAATTATTGTCATGTTTTCGAGAAAGAAAAAACAACGGAGAATTATAATGCATCTTTTCTAATTATTCCCAATATGTCATAAGTGTAGAGAAAAAGTAGTTTTAATAATTTGTGATTGTTTAGAAGTTGGCTAAGTGACATTATTTTGATGGAAATTATGAAATAATGCTGACATTGCAATGACACTAGAAGAGAATGGAATGAGCTACGGAATCAGCATATGAAAGTCAAACATAAATTGTGAAAACATGGCAAAGCACTTTAGATTTTACACTGTTCATTGAGAAATGCTGGAACTGGAATAAAAGAGAAATTTTTCTTTCTGAACATTTTCATATAATTTGTAGATCAAAATATACAAAATATATAGCTCTGCAAAATTACATATCTACATATTTGTCTCTATATATTGAGTTGAATGACACTGAAAAATTATCATACATAAAAGCAATTTTGTATGGAATTTTCACAATATGTTGTTCAACTTTCAGAGTAATTTCAAATTACATGATTGCACAAAATGTTGGAAAATTTTGATAAAATTTTAAATAAAAATCTTTTATCGTGAGATTAAACAAAATTTAATCACCTTCGTGAAAAATATTTGTTACTACAAATCAATGCTTTAATTATGAATTCACTAGAAATATTATTGCTGATAAACCGATAATTGAATCTACCGCAGACTGTAACAGAAATGTTGACTCGAGCATTGAAAATCAAACTTATAATGCGTAAACTGTATGAATATGAAATACATGCCACAGTATATTTGAATTATGAATAATTTGATACTAATTGCATATTCAATTTCACAGAATAATATAATTGGGATGCATAGAGTCAGAATTTTAGCGAACGCAATCATAATGATGACATTGAAAAACACATGAATTTAATTCAACATTTATTAAAACACATTTTCTCGAACTATAATATTTTGCGTATACTAATTACATTTTTTTTTGGGTTTATTACATATGGAAATAATTTTCAACATAATACTTTTATGAGTTTCATGATTATTCAAATTTAATTTATTAGATCACAGATATAATTGTTCGAAATTCCTTAACCATCCTATAATATTCAACGGAATGTCTGAGATGAGAGAGATACCGAGGGTTGCAGAATATTTTATATGGCATGATAGCAATTCACTAGAGGCCGATTACACTACAGTGAGTTTAGGATTTGCATCCGAAATGTTTTCTGCTGCGCTGTTTGCATTCATGGAAATACTTGCAAAATGGTACAACTTCCAATTCTTTACACATATCCATATGTATGTTTCTAGCTCTCCTCATCGATTTTGAAACTTAAAGTATACATACTCACCAATATTCACTTTCTGACGTATTCAAACATTAACTTTAACAGTGTCATTGTTGAATAAGTAATAGCTTAATGAAAAGCTTTCCTAATGTTGGAAACGAAAAGTTCGTAGCATTTGCATCCTGGTTGGAAAATCTGTTGGCATAACCAAGTATTTTGCCACTATTCTCAACGCACCAATTGTGTGGTGAACATTCAACATTGGTTACAGAAAATTCATTTATTAAGCTGTGTTTTAGCAACAGTCAACATCATTTGCATGTAAGTACCTGTAATTAAATTCGGTATTTAATAGAATAATTAATTTTTATTGTGCATGACTACAAAAGCATCTGCTGATCTATTTGCCAAACGAAAAACAGTCATGCAAATTAAATATTTTAAATACAAATACACAGATAAACTGGTCAAATGATAATTATTTTTAACATCAGAACGGCAACAAATTTCCCATAAATTATGCTCGTGTGCATCGCACGGTATAAATTAATTGAAAATTTAGTAGATTGTATTCACTGTTTGTATGTTTAATTGTGAAATCACAGAAAAGAGTTTCAGATTACATTCCAAATTTTATGTTCATTTAACTGACTGAACTTTGCGGAAAATTCTCTAATATGTTCCTTTCAATTTCTAATCACGCGCTCTCGTGAATGCTGAACGTGCTTCACTTTGCTCCACTTTTCAATGAATTGAGCAAGTTCCAAAGGGCTTCAGTGGAAGTTCTTATCAGACACTCATGGAAATTTTAATCTAAACCAAAAAGTATAGCATGCCATTGATCTTCTTTAACATAACAAAGGTTTTCCGTAAACTCTTCGTGAGACAACTTTTCCACTTAGAGGAACAATTGTGGGATGATACGTGACCTAATTTATAAATTGAAAGTATAACTTAAATAAAATTGAGGGTTCTCTTTTAAGTGTATAAATCGTAGAAGCATTCAGAAAATTTTAAGGAGCAATTAAATTATCTATAAATAGCGCAATTGGCTGGTAATTTTCGCTCAGCAATAACTACAATTTAGGCATTGAACTTGTAAAAAGATGTAATTTCTACACTACGAAGTAAATGTTTCCTACCTGTTGAATTTTTTACAGCATTAGAGGGAAGTTTCGTGGTTATGATTTGCAAATTTGTATTGTACATTAGAATGGACAGAATACTAGCACATTTCCTCGTTTATTATTCGCGCCAGACCCCTACCTAAAACAATGTGATATTTCATCTTGCGATTATACATGATTGAATGAACGGGAAAGTGGATTTTATTAAAAAAAAAAGGATATTTGAAGAACGCTAGTGAAGAGGAAGAGTAATCAAATAGATCGCACAGAAAATATATTGTATAGTAAGAGGATGAGAAATAGGAAAAAATTGCAAGTTTCTACGAAATTCTTAAACTGCAATTTGCTTCTAGTATAAAATTTCTACGTCATCTTGATGATTGAATTTAGTATAAAAGCTGAGACTTATCATTGTATGAATATTCCATGCAATGTCAAAGTGTTATACAGGGAGACGTCGAATTAGGCCAAATTACATATTCATGCTCATGCAGGACGAGAAGAGAGACAAAAGCAGGTGATAATTGGGATTCTCTAATCTTGGATGTTCTTGGTGTTGATAGGTTTGGGGGAAGCAGAAAAGGATGAGTTTGTGGGTGACTTGTGAACAATATATCTGTAAAATCACCTGTTGATCTCCTGTGAAGGCCCGGCTGTTCACTGAGGACGTGCGTTACTGCTGGTTTCCGACTCCATGGGAAGCGACATTTCATGGCGAATGACCCATAAATCAATGGATTCATACATGAATTTGAGACTGCCATAAGGAAGAGGCCTTCCTGCACGAGACTATCCACCTTTTCTGCACTTTTTCGATCAAACACGTACCTAGAAACAAGGGGAAATAAATATTGTAAAGTCGCTCTCTTCCCCATGAGCGTCAAACATGAACACGTGCATATCTGGAATGTCCTGAAAGATATTTTTCCATTAAACTTTTCCGTTCAACTCACAATAATACTCAATTTATGCTGGCAGTATGTGTATATTATATTCTGTAAAATTATATTAACATTGCATACACCATGTTAAGTACTTAAATTGTATGCAATTCTGTATGTTTGTCTTTCCATATTAATCAAAAATGTTCGTGCTAAACAAATCATTTCCAACGTCACGGATTTTGGCGCAATGTTTTCGATAAATAGGAAAAAACAATTCTATTATGTAATTTAACTTTTGCTTGCTGAATACAAAAAAATAAATAAATTTATGCATTTTCATGTTTTAATTCCATATGAAATGTAGGTACAGATTGTTTACAAATTTCAGCAAATAGACATTTTTGGGCATGGAGGGAATTAATAGCACTATACATGAAAAAGAACGTGTTACTGGCAGGTGATGTAATTTTACGTGAATTTGTGTGCGTGAAAACGCTCCAAATTTGCAAATCATTCTGTGAAATCAGATATATTAAATCTCCTGTATAATCTGTATAACAAAATACGCATAGACATGTAATGTGTGCATGAAAATCATTTTGATTAACACCATTATTATAATTATAATATTAAAGTTTCCTATGTGATTCATTAACTTAATTCAGTGAATAAATTCCAGGTCGCTTGAGGATGTGAAAAGCTCAAGTTTTTCTGTAGAAGTCGTAGAAAGTGTATTAAATTGAAGAGCTCCCAACATTGTAACTTGAATTGGGTAGATCTGGATGTTTGCACTGGAAGTTCTTTCAGGTGTGAAAGTGACTCTTTTATCGTCTCTAAATTAATTTCGCCACCACACAGGGTGCTGTGGCCTTGCTCCTCCTGCTCTTTGTCAACCGCACTACCATATTCTGACGCGTTAAATTCGCAATAAATTGCCAGTGCTGGCAATCGTATAATTGCAGAATTGTTAGGGAGAATCCTCTCAATATATTGTGTATTTTATATTCCTATGTGCAAATACTCTGCATAGCCAAAAATACTCTTACTGTATGATGCTACAATGCTGAATAATAATTTATTAAGTCCTGTGTATACTAGTGCTTAGGATGGTATTAAATAAACTATAACTATGAAAATGAATTTGCTGCCGCTATGTACAATTCATTGCCTCACATGAATTAAACTTTAGTGGCTAATGCAAGAATTTTGAGAGTATAGCTTACCAGAGAGCCATTACTACATATGGAGTCCAGCACCAAATAAAAACAACCACTATTATGACGGTGAGCTTGAATGTTTTCTGGCGAGCCCGCTCTATTTGTGTGAGAGCATTGCATCTGAGCCTCAAAGCGCCGGAGGCTGTCCTGTCTTTACCATCATCTGAAACGGAAAGCAGAAATTATGGTCAGAATGTTGCACTGAAATGTAAGAGAGCTTTCTGTTTAAACAACAGAAGGAAAGAAGGGATGTGATATGAAAGAATCTGATGAAAATGCAATTTTTACTCACCTCTTTCCCGCGATCTGAGCGTCCTTTTGGTGATCTCGCAGACGATCATGGTGTAGGCTACGCAGATGACGAGCAGGGGCATGAAGTACATCAGCACCACGCAAATGAAGTTGTAAACTGACTCTGCATTGTCACTCTGGAAGAATCCGAAGGTGACACACTGCTGGAACTCTGGAACCCCAGGCCGGTGAGCCACGTGATATATGACGATCTGCGGCATGGAGCTGAGCATGGCCACAAGCCAGGCGCAGATCAGCATGACTTTTCCGCGACGCTGGGCGTCCTGCAGGCGCAGCGGATAAACCACGGCGAAACAGCGATCCAATGCAACGCACACAAGCACGTTTGAACTCAGGTAAAGGCTGAATGATCGGATGAATGTGAAAACTTTGCACGCTATATTCCCGGCATACCACTCAACAGCGATTCTCCATCCAATCTGGGCGTGAATAAATACCAGGACAAAGTGATTTGTTTGCGAATGTACTACCAATATTGTGTTTCTGCTGGTTTGGCCCTTGTCAAGTGCGAAAGAATTTTTTCGAGTGGAAAATTCTGGCAAAGCGAGACAAACGGATTCGAAAAATTTTCTCTAATTTACATAGTAACAAAATAAGGGAGTTAAATATTTATCTTTAATTTGGTGGTGTTTCAGCGTGAATATTGTGGCTTAGGAAAATAGAAAGGGTTTTTCTCTAAATTGTGCTCACTTTGCGGTTTATTTGCATGGTGTATTACACAACCATACCCAAGCCAGAAGCGTGGTGCTGTCGAGGTTTTTCTCATTTTTTCACCTGGGCGCACCCCGCGGATAAAGCCAATAAGTTCCTAATGCTGAGCTCAAGAAACTTTGCGGGAGTGTTTCATTCAATTTGAGGTGAGGTTACTGACTCTCTGCTTAAAGACTTTCACATATATTGGCTATATATTATAATATTTCAGTCATCCTAAAAAATTCATTTTCTTCCAATGTTAAATATTGCGCGTAATGAAACGTTCGGCTTAATGAAATTTCAGATCAGAAATGCTCATGGTTGTGTTTGAAGTGTAAATTTGCTTGTAAAATAATTTGTTTCTGTAGCCTTTGGTAGCACAACACGAGGTTATGCAAATGAAATATGTCGGTATACTTTGCTGCTGAGCATAAAAAAAAACTTAATACCATCGTCAAGACCATCGCGATTTTCCATTGCATGCTATCCAATTTCGTGGTTTTTTCTTTATCAAACAAGGAATTTCCTACGAGATATCTTCAAACAATGCGAGAGAAGTGACTGTGAAGAGATTTCCAAGTACGACTCTTCCAGATTGTTTTCCAAGAAAACTGTTGTATGTGTGCTAAAAGAATAGCAAAAACGCGCGCGTTATGCTTGAAACATTCTCTTAGAAACACATACTTGGTACTGTATATAAAAGATTTACCAGCTTAAATTGTGGAAAATTTTTCCCTATATATACATACATGCTTTTCTCGCCAAGAAAATGTCTGTGAGCAAATATTTAAATCAAGACGATGGCGGAGTAAGTGTTGTATATTCTTATTTGCAGTGTGAAAGTGCAATAGAGTGACAAAAAAGAAGTGTAACTACAGTTTTGATTAAGAAAAAGAAGGTAAATAAAGTCCTTTGTGTGTAACACTCTTTGAAGTGGCAATATATTATGTATATTAAAGTATAATTAGTTGGTAATTCTGGGTTTATCGTTGCATAATAGAATTAAGCGTCATTATACATATTCTACCTAAACTCTGTAATATTGTGTGAACATTAATCTAATGGAGAACAGGATGGCATAACACATAGAAAATGCGCAAGATGTTACATTCAAAATGTACATATGAGATGATGTCCTAAATAAATCCGGAGATGTTTTGTAATTCCAATGATTGAGGAAAAGGAAGTTGTACCTACTGTGAAATTTTCGTACGTTTATGAAAAATCGATATGATCTCAAAGTTATCACTCTTGCTATATGAGGCCTAGATTTTTTTACAATGCCTAGAATGGGTATTTACTTTTTTATGGCGAAAAAACATCTTCTTTAAAGGACTCTTGTCAAATCCACCCAAAGTATACTACGTTGTCTATTTGCATAGTTCAATTCTCGGGCTCTTCCTTTTTCCTCAATTTGGTTTTCAAAGAGAAGTTACTGCATAATGGCAAGATTTTCAATAGAACTTGTCTATAGCATAGTTATGACGTGCCTTAAAGCCACATAAGATATATTTTATGTCATGCACGGAACTTTGTTAATAATTCAGATGTAACAGTTTTGAAATACAATATTTAATAGAGTTCAGCAATAGGATTATTACAGGGATAATAGTCAGGAATAATTGCACACGAGAGTGTTTTTAATTGGATGGTAGATGGCAAAGGTAATTAGAGATACATAAATCTGGGTGGAGAAACACCAAATATTAAATTGACGGAAAAGTTTTGTTTGAAGTACAGCAGCTTTGAAGTCACACCACAAAATTACCATTACACGCTTGAACAAGGGTAAAGATTCTATGATTGCGAGATAATGAATGACGTGTGGATAATTAATAGAACCATAATAATTTAAAGCGAGAGATAACAAATATGTATTATTTACCTCAAAGGGAATTGTGAAGAAGGCCACCATAAGGTCAGCTACGGCTAAATGGCAAATCATGAGACTTATTCGGGATCGCCTATGATGTTTGGACTTGAATAGCGAGACCACTACTGAGAGATTTCCAGGAGCTCCAATTATGAACAACACGCAGTAGACTATTATGACCACCACCACTGATGAATTCGTGAGACCTGCAAAATGGGCCTCTTTAATTGAACTCTCGTCAGTAATAGTACTTTCACACTATCTCAACCCCTTTCGGAGTTAACATCGACGCTTCGAAAGCACACGAATTTTCAATTTCGGCTGGCGTTAACAAATTTCTCGATCCAAAGGGAAATTTCACAATGAAATTGAGCTTGATATTAAGGTCTAATGGGTTCTATGATTGATTAATTAGCAAAATATGTACATTTCGTGGAAACGTTTCGCCTCGTGCCCTCATCTGACACGGCAATATTTCGCACGGAAAGTCTTGGTACTTTAAGGAATATTTCCGATGATTTTCTCCAGCATGGCAATCACTGTCATGAAATAAATATGAGATTTCTTCCGCCGACACACTGGTATTTCCCATAGGAAAACACGAGTTTAACGCCTCACTGATTCCAAATGTTTTCTGCCTACGCTACTCCTCGACGTCACCTTTACATTTACAATCTGCTAATGTTAATTAATTCTCAGTTCCCTCAGTTTTACATTAAAATATTTAGTAAATTCCATTTTATCACTATAGTGTGAAGTGAAAATATTTTGTGTTGTTGGAAAATATATTTTAGTCTCACATAATGAGATAAATTCCTGAAGCGCCTAAATTGATATCTTTGGTACACCAAACACCAATTAATTATAAAATGAGATTTTGCATCACTCGTCGAAATTCTACTGAAAATATATTGCATATAATACTCTATATTTTTTGAATGGCGCCAAATTTTAATGATTCGCATTGCCTCTTGGAATTGCTTCAATTTTAGCATAAAAATCATATAATTTTTGGTAGCACATTGACAGTTTAATGCGATTCATAAATGTTTAGGCGCGTGCTTAGCTATAATTGACATAGTTTTGTATTATCTCACATTATGCAAAATTTATATTCTTGCGTATTATCAGGATGAATCCTAAAGTTATAGGCGCCATTTTAGTGATAGATAGCATTAAATTAGCATTTTTCTTCAGGGCGCTCCTTGGAACTCTCAAATGAAGAGATTAAATTCATGTAAAAATTGCCATTTGAAGTCTATTATTATACATATTATTAATACTGTGATCCTGCAGAGCGGTTTAACAAGAGTGAAAAGTCCATCACAAAGAGCATGTAATACGATAGAATCCTACTGAAGATGATAGAAAAAAACAGATTCTGAAGTCAGAAGAAAGAAGTCTAATTAGTAAGCTTTATGTTGAATACATTGTCGTTTCCCCAGTTTATCATTCACTGCTTATATGCTTACAGTAAGCGAAAATCAGTCAAAGACGTACCGGAAATCGATTCAGGAATGGTGAAATTTCCTGTGCTATTGGAAGTTAGAACATCATCTAATTCTGATGAATTCACAGTTGAACTGTTATTATAGATATAAAATTGCTGTGTTTCGATGTTCAATTGGTCTTCCATTACTAATTGCAACTAGAGATCCTGCTGTCCTCATATCACTGAACATTTTCACTTATCCTCTTCACTTCCCGTGGGCCACATCACAATTACAACTTCACAATTTAGTGCACTCGTATGCTCCTACAAGTGATTAGATGTGACGCACTGTTTAAAATATGTGAAAATGTTTTCAATTTTCCTCACAATTTTCCAATGAGATGCACTGCACAGCAATGGTGTTGAGCTTTCTAGATAGCACAACTTGTGGTCAATCAATTTCATGGCAAAAGCATAGCTTTCTCACAGGAAACCCCTCAATGCAATTCAGAAGCATCTGAGTTTTCCTTCCAACTCTGTCGCAAGTATTCATATATCACTCTCAAACAATGTACTACACTATCTCATGCGAAATCGGAACTTCACTCGCCATGAGGTTTCCTGGAGAGCCTCCTTCGCACCTCCAGATTTATTGTCAGCGGAAATTCAGATGGAAGTGCAAGATTCGCGAGAGCTCGACGACGCAAGAGCCTCCAATATATGTGGCTGGCACGGTGGTCACAGTGAAACTGCTCACTAGGCTCTCCAGCCAACTCATTGAAGACTTCCTCACCATCAGCAACGGGCAAAATGAGAGAGCTTTTCGATCAAAAGTTCCGTCGCTGAGTTTTCTGCGCACTGTCCGTGGTTTCTCCCCCTAAAACATTCCCCTCTGTGATATGGTATGCAAGATAACTTTCATAGAGATTCATGTAGAGGGAAAAGAATGCGGAAGCCGCTCCTAATGCCACTCAACATATATAAAGTTCACCAAAGTGGCTACACTTTGACCTTCCTCTTCATCTGCTTTGAGCTTTCATGGCTGCTTTCTTTAAAAATGTCGTGGGTTTCAACACCTCAAACGACTTTGTGCGGGCGTAGAGGAGAACCCTTTATCACTTCACACACGTCATCATGGGGAAAGAAGATTTGAGTGGGCTATTAAGTATGAGGACGATAGAGAAAAAAATGTATATACTCTTCGACATAACATCAATGATCCCTTAAATCTTATCTGATTTGTTGAATGGAATAAATCACCATGACATTCGATGAGATTCTGACCCCGAAGCGATGAGACATCGTAAGACATTTTATGTCCAATAAACCTGTTGCATACGAAGCCCAATTGTTATGTTCCGATTTTTCCAATATATTTGTTTTCCATGTGGTGTTTTCGTCAATCCAATTCGCGACAACCAACAACACAACTTCCTAACCACTCAATCACTGGAAGATATCACTCAATATTTACTTCCCTGTGCTTCCATAAGTCTTTAGCTGGCGGGCAATTTCAGCATGCTAAGCTATTTATTCACTCATCCCCAATTTGGATGACACGCAATCCTGTCACAAAATTTATTTCCAATACAAGCAACATCTGCAATGTTAGAAGATAACATATATTATATTTATCTGACTTGAAAATTATAGTTTCGGGCGAAGCAAAAAGTAAGAATAATGTCTTGTAGCTTTAATTAGGTTTTATTGGGAAAGTATGTGGGAAAAGAAAATTTAAAATAATTCTTTTAATAATTCTATATTTGTAGGAATCCCGAAACTTATAATTTATGTTATAAGAAAAGGGAAGAAAGTGTGAAAAATATTGTATTTCATGTACACACTTGTGGTGAAATATTACATGTTTTCACGATAATGTTGCTTTCTTGATGTATTACAATACATCATTCTTTTGCGTTTGAACGAAATGTGTGCATTTCGGAGCAATAAGTATATTAGATTTATGTACATGCATAATTCGTGAATGCAGCCATAGCTTCTGCGTCAATATGAGCTTCACACAATGTAGAGAAGAGCTGAGCCATTTTGTGGAGTAATTTCAAGACACACTTTACCAACCATGTTTTGGAATCAATCCCTAAAAATTCCAATATGAATACACGGCAGAATACAATGTGTATTCAACATTTATAAAGGTTAAGGGAGAATTCAACAACATAAGCTCATCTCTTCTCTATTGCCTCTGCACAATATATTGTTGTGTCTATTTTCGTGAATATTTGTATTCTAACTTCATATGCATAATTCTCTGTACAATTTGTACCTTGGAATTGTTATTCCCATTCTATATGCCGTGTCATTACAGCTGACATGACAGAACAACAATGTGATAATAGAATTATACAATATACTAAGTAATGTTATCAGGCTTTGATGATCAGATAAAATATGCACTTGCAACAGGACAAAAGAAAATTACAGGCATACTTCAAAGTGTTTTTCATATTGAATTAACGAACGCAAAGTGTTGAGTTGATGATCTCAAAAATTCATTGTTTATTCATGTGACACCTAAAATCTAGGGCAGTGCGTTTATTTTGCAAGTATAATCTCGCATCCATGTAAAATTCAAGTGTTTACAGTAAATAAACAAGGATTGTTACATATGTGCGTATTACAGAATGAGCTCGGGGAGCCTCAGTCTGACGATGACGTGAAGGGAGCTTTAGGCTGAATTGTTGCCACATCGACTGTTGAGCATTCATGGCACTTTGAGATAAAATGGGCAAAAACATCCGCAAAGTGTGGTGAATCGCACAACACCTTTGAGTGGGCTGAATTCGAGAGAACTTCCTTCCAACTGACTGATGCCGTACCATTACATTTCACACATTTTCACGCACAATTGCTTGCGTGAATTTTTCTGACTCACTGAATCCAAAATCAACACATTCTGGAGGCAATCCACGGTGAAATATTATTTTACGCACTTTCCCGCCCAGGTGATGATGGCAGAATTCGGGAGAGAAAGAAGAAAAAAGAAACAATGAGTCTTCCTGAAATACTATGATTTATTGTCCTTCTTCGCCAACAGTGTGAATTTAATGCTGAAAATTTTGGAATCATCTAGTAATTTTTGGGGATGCTCGTTTAATATTTTGAAGAGATTCCGTTGAACTTGAAATTGATAAATATTTGCAATGATTTGCATATTTACAAAGCAAGAAAGACATTTACCATCAGTGTGCGGGCTTTCATCTGGCTCTCGCTTACAGTGCTTGTATTTACAAATTTGTCCTTGTCTTGTCAACAACCCCCGTTAATCAACAGACTCAGGGTCCGCATCCTGGCGAAAGATGCCGCACAGACGATATCCAAAGACCTTTCGCCATTCCTTTTTCAATTGCGCCTCTCGCCTGAGACATTAAGTGAGTGACGGGAGCTGAAATGAGAGTTAAGGGGAGGATTGTCCCGGAAAACCACAAGACAGCAATTTCTGATAGATTGCTCTCATTTCTCGCCCCAACTTCACCGCAGAAGCAAATTGACTAAGTCCTCTGGGTGCCAATGGAAATCATTAGAAATTTTAGCGCGATAGGCATAAGTAATTTGTTCTTGTCCAATCTCAAAACATTAGCGCACAGAATGGGCCTCACGAGATGCGAGAGTGATATTGATTTTGTTCGCATGAGTTTCATTTCAGCTGAATTCGCACAAATTTGACATGAAGCGATGGGCGAGCATTGAAAAATTTTCTTTTGCGTAATGCAGAGTGGCGAAGATCTATCTGAATGAGTGAAATACAAAATAAGTGTAAGCAAATTTCACTCAGATTTTGCTTACTCATCGCATTATGCCTTCAGAGCATGTTTTTACATTATGGATTTTCAAAATGCTCTAGGGTAGCCTATAAATTATTATTGGAATTCTAGAGGCATTATTTGCATGTAACTTGTATAAATCTAAGAAAATGCCGCTCACACATGCATATTCAAATATAAACATCTGGAAGGGCAGGGCAATATTTCCACCGGTTGAGTGGGAAATTTTCTTAAAACAATTCCCTAAGCGTGCGTTTATTTGCATAATGTGTTAAGCAAAAGTCTGTAGATTCAATATTCTTTTGAATATCTTCCTCTTAAAGCCAATGGATGTTGTGAGGTTTGAGCGCTATTCCAAATCCACATTCTTGGTGCTTCAATAGCAGGAAAAGTACGTAAAATAAGGACTATGAATATTATTCAGAGCAGTCAAACTTTTCAAATGTCTGTGGAAGTGGAATACTTCCGAGTTGAGATTTTTGAAGATACAATCTTTTGCTTAAAGGTAAGGTTAAATTAGTGTTCGTGCGCTCAGAGGGAGAAAAGTATTGACTTTTGTGTTCATAAAGTGTATTTGCGATAATAAATTGCCCTGTGCAGCTTTCAAGAATGAATTTTTCAGTGAGATGAAATTCTGCTCAATGACATATTTGAGTCTACTTTATACATGAATATGGGGAGAATTTGCTGCTTCGTTTGCACAGATGTCACGCTAAAGTATCAGAAGAAAGATGGAGAGATATACAATAACCCTTCTCTTCGCGCGAAGATTTTCAACGTCACATAACTCAAAAATGTTCTACAAATAGTTTTCCATACTTCTGCGTGTTTTCTAACATTATTCATTATTCATAGCTTTTCACCAATTTCAGAATTTAAATGTTTTTACTGTGGTGGTTAATATTTCATGTTCATTGAACAATTGGCAAATTGACTTGAATTTTTTCTGCTCATATTTCAAATGGGGAAAATTCAATTTGCAGCTTCATTTGCTTCACAATTGTTCTTCATTGTTTTCCCATTTCGTAAAAGTGTTCTTCTTTCACAAGATTTAATTTTATTTCATTTCACGTTATCATCAATGCACGCCATTTTATCGGAACTAAATCTACTGTGGGATTGTGTCTGCCAATTCGTTTATGCTGATTTCCCGATTGGCAAGCAAATATGAACATCTATAGAGGGAGAAATAAACGTAGATATATAAATTTGTAGACGCAATTGTATCGTTTGTGCAATGCACAGTCAAATACATTTCCAATTTCCACCCCTACGGCGTGGAAAATATTTTCTAACAACGATAAGAAATATTCTGTAACGTATGAAGTCACGGGAATTTTTGATTCTATTTATACTTGGGTATTGTTTGGTGTTCATTTCCTTTTTTGCTCTGTGTGAAATGAAAAACATAAGAAAATTACAATAGCTAGCAATTATGTGATTCCCGTGTAGGTCATCTTGTACAATAGGATTTCTAAAAAAAAATACATTCTTTTTAACAAGCTCCTGCGTTGAACATAATGCATTGTAGCCATGGCAAGTTTGTGGCAAAGAGAATTGCAAAAATTCTGAACATTCTTAGATAACTTTGCATTTCAACACCGACTGGGAAACTTTTACACTTGCTTTTGCATATGTGATTTCATGCATTGTGAAGAACAATGACACACGATTCATATTGCACCAAAATTCTTTCTGTCTAAGAGATTTTCCAAGAGTGAAAACTATGTTGTGCACGTTTTTCATAAGCCATGAATGTATGAGATCACATGCAAATTTTATTCCATTGATCCCCATTTTTGTTGGAAATAATTTTCTCATATATGCACGCACACGGTTTTGAAAATTGACATGCAATTGCAATTTACGAGGTTTATACAAATATTTTATTTACTTCCTCACACGATAAGAAAATAACACAACAACTTTGTGACAAATAACAGTAATATACTAAAATGACATGAGAATATGCAGTCACTGTGAATTCTTGCAGGTCAGAAAGCTCGCTGGATAGCACTGGATTTACCAGCTCCTTGGAGAGATGTCTTCCATCACGAAACTTTAAAATGAATGACATGATTCATATTAAATTTCCGCTATTCCCCTGCGCTGAGACATTTTCAAGAAAATGTGTTTTGTATTGTGAATGAAAAGTTCCTGTAGGAATTCATTCGTCAATTGCAAGTTCACTGCAGTGTTGGTTAGAAATTAAATTAAGCAAAACAATGCAAATATTATACCGGAGGTTTCATTTTCAAACTTGCATGGTAATATGATTATATGTATCAGTAAGTTTGTATATTTTGCTCTATCAAAACCATCACCAACAAGGTTTAAAGATTGCGGAGTATGAAAACATGGAAAGCTATGAATTGTTGTTTTGGATTAGTATTTTCTGTTTGCATTTCCAAACAGAAACTTTAGCCTCTTAGATAATAAAAAGTATTTTTCATATGTATGTATATTTCATTTTCATTCTGAAGGAACTCGAAACTTCTATGAGTGAGTATTTTCTAGACAAGAATGCTTTATATCTGCTTAACGACTACATTAAACTACATAATTAGAGATGGTTGAAATAATTGATTTTCATCAACATTCTCTCTTATACTCACAATTTCGGTGCACTGAAAAGTCGAGATTTTTTCTCCACCAACAGTTGAATATTATTTGAAAAGAAGATCAAATTAAATTTCCAACAACTTCTAGTGAATGGTCATTAAAAAAACTCACACTAAAATATGCTGTTTCTCTTTAACTTTTCTCCGAAATATGAGTTCTATATTTTAGCAATTCAACCTTTATTCTTTTTAATGAGTTTCGTAGAACATTCGTGTGAAGTATAAATATGAACACAGTTTTAGACTAAAAATTGCAAATCAACGTGTTATGAAATGCAACGTTTCAACCACAACTACTTACCCTACTTACCTTTATGGAAGTTTAGTCTTCACAGAAGCACTTCTCTTTTATATTCTATATGAAGTGTGTTCTTCTGAAATCGTTTGTAAGATATTTCGATTTTTGGATTTTCCACATCATATTTTCGACTATTCATTGCATCTTTATACACAGCCTTTGAAGCATAATGTGGCGATGGTTTGTGAAGTGAATGTAGATTAAAATTTCAATATGACTTGGTTAATAATATTGTAGTTTATATTGTTTTTCGTCAAAGGAAATATAATTTTCATAAAACACGAAAACAACGATTAATGAAGTCGTTGCTTTTAGTAGAAAGCGTATAACTGCATCATAACAACCTGGATGAGAATTGTGGAGTTTTAATTTAAATTAATTCGATGAAATTTCATTACATGCGAAATTTTATTTAGTTCCGAGAACAAAGTTTAGTTATTGTCGCTACTATTAGCAAATTTTCCGAATTACTCGTGAAATAAAGAGCACGTGATTCGCTATAAACTGTGCTTAGGTAAAGTTTAATAGGATTTTTTTTTATGTGGCGAAACACCTTTTCCTCCCACATGATACAATATTTTTCACACCACCCTGAATTGTGTGTCCGTAAATAAGGTGTGAGAGACACGTACGTTACAAAAGTTTCAGATGGCCCAGCTTTTCAAGCGCAATAATGGACGTGACTCTGCATTAATATGTACAAACCTTTCCACACTCATGCACATTAATTGCCACTCGCTTTAACAGGACCTGAAAGCTTGGTAAGTTCGCAACAAGGCTCTCGGATAGCAAACACGTGTTCTGCACTTCCTGCGACATTGCAGCTACTGTATACTATTAAAAAGCCCTAAAATTCTTTTGGCAAAGTTTGAACAGAACTTGACTGGGAGAGTAATAAATTTAATAGCTGCGCTGTTTTCGCGAAGAAAAATTGAAGGGAAAACATTAAGGACGGAGCATTTATTATGGACAGAATGTCAACCGTTGATGTTTTATGCTTCATTGAGAAGAATCTGAGAGAAGAAAACAAATTGATATCTTTTTGTCCAGAATGCCTCTTTTTTCTCCATCAGTGAGCATAAAAAATTGTGGAAAGGCAAAGATGCGGACTTTTTATCAAATTTCACTCAGCCGTAAAATTATATCACAACTTTTTCTATTCTTCTCCCGGGATAATTTGAATATTATGCAGAGTAAAGACTAATCGATAAGAGCGTGGAGCATTGAGAAGTTGAAATGAGAATTTGTAAAAGTGTCAGAAGAAAAGTGTTGTGTGAAAATATGTATTTGAAAGAGAAGAAATTCTATTTTTTGCATAAGTAATGGCACGAAATTTTTTCATGTAACACTTCAGAGCAATAACACGTATTTTTCAATCTAAATATAAAATCGGAGGGAAAAGTTTTTCAATTTGTCTCCTTCTGGAATGCTTCACTTTTTGTTGCGCAATTTGAACTTTAAACACAAACAAAGGCAAATATAGTCTCACAAATAATGCTCTTGTTCAGTCGCTTGTTCAGCCATTGTGATTGATTTTCACTGGATTTTCTTTTCCTTTGATCTTCAGTAATTTCCCTCCGACGAAATAAACCCCTAAGTTCTCCAATCTCCTGTCGTGAATTAATCATTAAATTATCGTTGCCTCTTGAAAGAGGTGAAAGCCCGCTATAATGCGAGCAATTGATTCCCTTGAATATAATGAGTTCAGCAAACTTTCCTGGGCTGAGCCCTGACTCAACAATTAGTACTTATTCATGGATCATTTAAACAAAGGATTATATTGACTTGTCTGGCTGCTGTTTGGAAAATCAACAGAAAATTGCTTGAATATACATTAATAAAAATACAATTTACTCCTTTTCGTGAATGCAAACAAAAGTATACTTATGTACGAAAAATTAATTGGATTTTTATTTTTTTATTCCACTGGTTTAATTTAGGTAAATCAATTCTATTTCAACACAGAACAAAGAGAATAATTAAACATTTTGATGGGATTTTTTTCTAGCGTGTAAAAATATTTTTTGGTATTTTCCCACTGATCTTTTTAATGCGCCACTTTCCATAGAAATAACGATGTGGTTTGTGAGGTCTTGAAAGCTCTCTGGGCGATCAATTTTTATGCTAAGCATACCCAATATGCTAACTAAGCATTCATCACCATCATCGCCACAATTTTCTATGCTAATGAACGAACAGTCGATACGTGAGGGTTTATCTGTGGAATTTTTTGAGCCTCTGCAGCTCCAGTTGGATTTACCCCAGTTGCTGAGTGCCCAAAGAAATGAAGCTGAGGGTTTTTCTGGCGGAGCGCATGCCATTTGCAGACTTCTTGCACGTCTGTCGCTCAGTTCAACTCAGCGCAGAAAAGTGGCCGAAAAGCCTCGGCAAGCTCTCTGAATGATGAATGAGGAGACAAGGACATGTGAGTCAGTCTCTTGAAGAGTGCTAAAGAGAACGGTCGCAGGCGGCGACATTCTGAGTTTCTTCAAACAAGTGGTTTCCCGGTAAATTTAATAATTACCTCACATTTGGCAGCGGGGCGTGAAAAATCTGTGTGCACAAGAGGCAATTTCGTGTGATGGAATATTGACTGAGATATAGGTATAAGGAGAAGATTGGCGTCAATTGAAGTGTTGTGAAAGAGGAGCTCAATTTGAAGCCTCCGGTGATATGAGACAAGGTAGAAATTATATGAGATTTTCGCTATATGGAATTAATAACACACCAGCAAATTGTGCTTAGTGAAGACGTAGTATTTCGGCAGCTCGCTGGGATTTTATGAATGGAAAATTTTCCACTTAGTTTGGGGATTTTTTTGTAGAACAACGAAAAAGCGCATAAAATGTTAACACTTTTCCAGTGAATACTATAAAAGCTAACAATGGCGATTCAAAGTGAGAGTGAGAGTGATGTAATTTTGTCCACCGACAATTCTTTCAACAGCTCAGCATGGGATAATCAAAGCCAATCGGAATTGGTGGCGCCAGGTGGGTTAAAATATATTTTGGTATTGATTAAAGGCATAAAATACTTATGTGTTTATAATAACGCTTTGACTAAGATCGGCTTGAAACATTGTCCAATTATGTGGGAAGAGAGCTAAAACATATTAAACATTGCCGAGTGACACAAGACCCGTGACCAGCGGTCCTTTTCACATCAAACGATATACAGGAAGAGGTGGAATGATCAAATACCTGCGCTCAGACTTCCAAGGACACGAGGAAAAACATGGAAAATTTACGGAAGAGTCTATATAGCTTGAAGGCTTTTAGATGATTGCTACATTTTGATTGGGAACGGAAAATCAATGGGTTTTTCTGGAGAAGAAAACACTCTCTTTTTTCTATGTTTCAATACAGGAATGTTTTCTTTGCAAAAAAAACTATTTAGGTGTAGATGAAAAAACATTGACTCGCACTAAAATTCAATCTCACACTTAAATGCCGAACCAATCTTTTCAAAAGTGTATGTTAAACGCATCAGCGTTTAGATTGAATACAAAATGTGTTTACAATCTATAAGTTTACTTGGTATCAAGCTTCGTACATCCTTTTAATTAAGCGGCACAAACCAAATTGTGTTAAACGAAAATCACTCTCGGGAAGTTGTGCATGGTGGATAGGATAATATTTAGTTATGAAAACAAGTTGTGCGATGAAGCCTTACTCTAGCTTGGCTGTAATCTTGCTTAACCGAATTGAATTGTATGACTAAACAAGATTTTGATTAGCTAATTTTTTCCGAAACTTGACTGTTGACATTTAAAGCTATATAATGCTGTAAAATCTTTGCACGTCGTCCAATTATGAGATGAAATTTGAGAGATTATATATGGGATTAGAAGAAGAAGGGAAAAAAATTCATAGGTAATTGTTTTTCTGGAGAATTTGCTCATTTTGATATCCACACGAAATGCCATCAATTCTGCCCTCTGAATCATTCAGAGGGAAATTCCTGGAAGTGGAATGGAATTAAATTATAGGAATGCATGAGACAGCCTAATTGACAGTGGAATGCCTTATGCCCTGGTGGATTTTCGACTTCTGTTCGGCAATGAAAGAATGGACCGGAGAGACAAATTCCTGTTTTCAGTTTCACATTCTTTTATTGCGGAAAATCCATGTACAATTTTCCTCTCTACACTCAAATTGTATTTCGATTGTGTGCTTTCCTCGGTTTCACTTTCAATAGCAATCTAATTTATGAAGCACCCAGATATTACCGTGAGGAGCGTCTTGACCTTTCTCATTCTTCAGCTTGCATGCGAAGAAGCATATTGGCGAGCATTATGAAAAGACACACCCAATGAGATAAATGTCTGGGAAAGCATGAAATTCTGTTTTTCGTCGAAAGCCTCAGCAGACCAAATCGATACATAGAGAGGAAAATTCGGTAATGGTAAATATTTGCCTACCCAAATATTCATTGTATTTAAATGAATGAGAACCACTCGCAGTATTCTCTTTGAAATTGTATTCACTCGTGTGAGGCGGAGTGTTCAACATAATTTTGGGATGAGATCTTCTCTTTATTTATGATTTTTCTTAATCTCTCAGCACGGACAGGAATTTTCATAGTACATCGTGCTTTATCAGTCAAAGAGCCGTTTAATGAACTCCAAACATCCCACACACTTGTGCTTGGCATTTGGGAATTGCGATGATGTGTTTAATGTGTTTGAGTAATATTATTGCCAAATTCTTGATGTTTGATCACTCTTGTTGAAATTTTGAGCTCATAATTGGCAAATTATTCTGCAATCACATAATATTCCACAGTCTAAATTAAGATAATGAATTTCACTGTGAAAACGTCTCTTTCGCGTGAGTAAACTTTCATGTAGCGAAGGTTGGTTGTGTGGTTCAATATGCTGATTAGCACCTCGCTTTACAATCCTCTTCTGTTTATTAAGTCAAGAATAAAGCTGTCGCACTAATCTTTCTCTAAAACTCCAACAACCACAGCACAAGGGATTATGAGCTCATGCTTTTATTTGAAGGATATTGAAAATGGAGAAATATGTAGCTAAACATTTGTAGCGAGCAGTTTTATGAATAGCTGTTCTCACATAACATAATTATTTGCATGTTTCTTTCATGATTTTTTCCTATTTCACTCCAATAAATGAGTCACTTATGAAATGCGGGAGACGATATTTTCTTCAAATAAATTTCATTATTAAATTCCTTAGCAATGGAATCCGTTTCGCCTCGTATGAAATTCCGTGACGAATGTTCTCTTCTTTTCCGATGATTTTTCATGGTCAAAACTTCACCCTCAATATAATATTTATATTTACATAAAATGCATATGCTTAAGGCAGACTAAAGCAAATTCCATGCCATTTCACATTTTCCACGCTACAGCACAAGTGAAAGCATAAAAAATGCAACGGAAAGCTTTTCTCTCTTTTACTCTATTTTCGAAAAACAACAGATTTTCTTGTTTGCTTTAATTTCATGATAAATATTGAATTCATTGTGGTTGCGTTTATTTACGAAGCACAGCATCTAGAGCGCAAGGACGCTCTATGAGAGTCCTTGGAAGTCTCGAATGCTCTGCGGATTTTCCGTCGCCGCTGCATTGATTGGAAATAAGCTGAGATGAAGAGATGAATGTATTCTATATTTACAAGCGCTTTTAACTCTGCAATAACCTCTGATGAACCTAATCAAAGTCAAAAGTAATAAATTCTGAGAAATTTTGTCGATATTCTTCTCGTAATAAACCATCTGTGGCACTTTCAGGCTACACCGACTCGACGGTTCCTGTCATTGCTGTGTACTGTGTGATGTTCGTGATTGCGTTGACGGGAAATCTTTCCGTCGTCATCACCCTCTTCCGGGGCAGAAGACACCGACGTTCGCGCGTCAGCCTCATGATATTCCACTTGGCCGTTGCGGACCTGATGGTGGCCTGCATCATGATTCCGCTGGAGGTAAATCAGTCTTGAATGTGTCATTAGGCGCTTTAATGTTTGATGAAGACTCGCGCGATGGATCTCGATGGCGCTCCAGCGCAAAGGACATCTTTTCTAATTAGCTTTATTGAACATTTGGGGGCAATTTGATATTTTTTGTGCCTTTCTTCTACCCTCAATCAACGCTTGTCTTTTCCCTTCTCACCACCCTCGCAGGATTATTCCAACAAATTTTATTTTCCCTTGAAAAAGAATTAATAAAACTTTCTTTGTTTTATTTAATACGAAACTCATCTTTTAATATTGATTAAAAAGCAAAATCCTTAATTTCGATTTTCTCTCTGATTCATACAGAAAATAAAGAAATTGGGAAAATTTTGATTTACTGTCTTCTAAAAAATTCTATTTGGAAAAAATGAAAGATTAAACCATTTCATTTATACACATATCGTAAATTTTACGAATAACACTGTCGTTATATTATTTAGGAGTATGAGAACATAACCTTTTTATCTTGAGAATAACTTCCGGGAGTAGCCAAGGAATTCTGGCGAAGTGGTCGATTTTTCTACCATGAATCATGAAGCATGGGGTTTATGTTCTGATATAAATTTGAATTGAATTTGAACGGATATGTTTAAAGGTAAGGAAATCCGCACGATGTGGATATAATATTTCACAATATTTCCAATCCAATATACATGATCCATATGGATTATCCAGTTATAATAATTCTATTATCTGCAACCGTGCTATGATATTATCGACGCTGAAATTGGAAAACTTTTCCCACAATAAAAATGAACTGAAATTTTTTAATCTGATTCTTAAAATTGAATGAATGCAGCACAGCTGGAATGTTCATCAATATGTATTTATTTCGAAAACTTACAGCACATATTTCGTGAAAGAGAAAATACGGAAGCATTTCACCTCTGGGGAATTGTCAATTTTTCATTCAAACAGATAAATGAAGCACACTCTCTGAAGTTTCGCCTGAGGCCTATTCAACCCGCAGTTGTGATTAACAAACTTCAGATAACTTGTTTGCCACATCCATTGAATAATTTTGCTTCTAGCAAAATAACCCAAAAGTCCAAAAAACTCTTTTTCCTCCTCATATCAACTGCAAATCCATTTCAAAATTGTCCTTTCACAGAGATAATTGCTTGGAACAGAGATTTGTTCTACTTTCAAACTTTTGATCAAAGTATTTTTCTGTGAAATACACGGATTTTTTCCATGATTACCATAACAAACGTCAAGTATTTCCATTGTAAAATTCTCCACGTTCTGCAACTTAATTGCTCATTGCTATGCAACCTGCATAAATTACAGTTGCATAATTTTTTCAGTGAATTCTCAAAACAGGACTTATCTCTTATGATTATGACGTTGAAATTGAATTAGAATTTCGTTCATTTTCTCATTAAAAATGACATAAAAGTCAAGAGAATTTATTTGAGTTGAAAGACTAATGAGATTTTAAGAACTTTGCCCGGCTTCGAGGCTTTTCTGTAAACTTAAGTAGATTTGGCTCATGCTTGAGAATGTTTCTCACGTTTTTCCACAAACGAAACGTGCAAGCAATTTCTCGGGTGGTTTGCTGGCTATGTTTGTTGAATGAATGCTTATTTTGAGGCAACTATTATAGCATTTATAACTTGGGGAATCCCCTCGTTTATCTTAGGAATTCATATCAATTATTGATGCCGTTTCATGTGCTCAAGACTGCATGGCTCAAGGCGTGAGTCTTTTTCATTTCCAGATCGGATGGAGAATTACGGTCGAGTGGTACGCTGGGAATATAGCCTGCAAAGTTTTACTCTTCATGAGAGCCTTCTGCCTCTATCTGAGCTCCAACGTGCTCGTGTGTGTTTCCCTGGACAGATGCTTTGCTGTGGTTTATCCTCTGCGGGTGACTGATGCCCGAAAGCGAGGAAAATATATGCTGGCTGCGGCCTGGATTGTGGCTACCCTCTACTCAATTCCACAAAGTATCATCTTCCGTGTGCAGCAACATCCACACATTTCCGGCTTCATGCAGTGCGTCTCCTTTGGCTACTTCTCCACGGATCGCATGGAAGCGGCGTACAATCTCTTCTGCTTGACAGCAATGTACTTTGGCCCGTTAACGGCCATCAGCATCGCTTACACGGCAATCGTCTGCGAAATCTCAAATCGCTCAGACAGATCCAGGACCAAAGGTAAATGCTCTCGAGGTCTCGTGGATGGAGAAGTTGGGAAGATGAGTTCGTGTGCTTGGAATTTCAGATGATGGTGGCGACAGGACGGCTTCGGGAGCACTTAGGCTGCGCTGCAATGCCATGACACATATCGAGAGGGCTCGCCAGAGGACTTTCCGACTCACTATTACCATTGTTCTCGTATTTATTTGGTGCTGGACACCATATGCCGTCATGACACTCTGGTAATTTAATACCTCTATACCATTACTGTGGAAATGGCATGGGCTAAACAACATTTAATGCCTTCTGGAATAAAAAAAAATCCCTTGGTCAGTGTGCATATAAATAAAAGTAATTGGAAAACTTTTGCCCATAATTATAAGAATACACATTGTGAAGAAAAGGCCTCCAGAATTTCACCATTCTCATAAAAGTTTGTGTGAAACATAAGACAATTTAGTGCAACATACGCAATAGTAACGATGTGACTGAAATAATTAATAACATCTCAAAAACATATAAATGAGAGACCTATAAATCTGATAAAGTTAACACGGTAGCAATTTTAAGTAATTTCAAATGTAGTGACAGTTGTTAAAATGATGCCAAAATCAGGCCAAACATTAAAGGATTTTATTGACACAATTAATTTCAAGTTTATAACAACATGTAATAGGATTCAACACTATCATAATTTGACTTTCAGTCATCTGACATTTATGAAATTGATTACAGCGCATTCATTCGTGAAATCACATTTCAAATGTTTCCCTCAAAGTTATTTTCCTCTCATGCAAGAATATTACTATTCATCTCACAGATGAAGTACATTGTTAAATTCTACATAAAGTTTCTTTGTTTGTGACATTTTAATTGGCATGTCTCATAACTGGATAATCGAAGTCAAAAAAGATTGGCTTAAATACTTGGAATAAGTCATGCAATAATACTAATCAATACAGAGGATTTTCATTACACAATTTGTGTAGGAAGTAAGCAATACTCCATCATCTGGAAATATGGAGTGTAGGTTTGGAAGAAGTAAACCACAAGTAGCGTAACACCTACCTTTCGGATTATTAATTAAAATTAAACACGATGTGGGAGGTGTAAATATGTATAATATTCTCCGCCAATTTTTGAGATGCTGCTCAATGTCACGTATAAATGAATGGCAAGGCTCTTTCAATGTTTTAGATTGGAAAATTGACATTGTCCTGAACACAATCGATATTTGTATCTTTTTTCACAGGTACACAATCGATAAGGAAAGCGCTGTGAAGGTTGACACGCACATTCAGGATGGCCTGTTTTTGATGGCAGTATCGAATTCCTGTGTCAATCCACTCGTGTATGGATCCTATGCCATAAAGACCTGTCGATATCCATGGAGCTCAAGTCGGTCCAATAATATTCACCTGCTGGGCACCAGCAGAATAGGTCTCCAGCGAAGATCCACAGGTAATTGGAAACACACATTAATTACCAACAACTCAAATTTAGCCACAGGAACACTCACATACACAGCATGAAGGAGCATTTCCCTTCTCCTTGAGCCAGCATCAAATTTTCGATTAACCTTCTAACTAGTTTCATTGTAATCACAGAAGACGAAGAGCTATCATTGTATGCTTGAATACATGATAGATATTTGCATTCAATATTCGCACAATGGTACAGAATTTCTTGAATTTCCCGGAAAACGACTAATAGACTTTCATTGACATTCCTTATTTCTCTCCTTTGTGAGATGCTCTGAAATTCAGCTGTCTTTATTCAATGTGAAGCTATGTATGTACACGCGTCTTTTCAATTTATGTTTAGATAAACGAAAGGTTTCAGAAATCATTTCAATTCAACCTAAATAATACTAGCATTATTTGCACTTACAAAATACCATTCAATTAATTATTCCCTTTAATTCAACACCAGAGTTATTAAGTACTTAATAGTGTAATAATTTGTTGATACAAATCAGAAATTGTTAATTGATTATGTATTTTCATCTCTTTCCACAGGAACTTACACACGAACATCCGCTGTTACGCGTTTCACTGTCGCACGGTGCAATGGGGAAATTGCCAATGGCAAGGTAAATTTTTCTTAATTTTCTCCTTTTCTTTGTCAAGTTCTTTGTCACTTGTAAAATGATTTAGATCAATTTTTAGTTCCGATCACTCTGCTAGAATAATGAAAACATGTTTGTCGACCTTGAATATTAGAAAGACAATTATGGGAAATATTCATTCTGTTCAAAACCACTTATTTTCTCTCAATCCACAAGGTATTGCTTACTCAATTAAATACAATGTAATCCTTTACACGCTTTGTGGTTAAGAGTAAATAATTCGGTTAAACTTTTAATTGTTTTCCCGCAATAAATACTACTCATAACTGTTTAATGGCATTTTTACACTTTATGAGTTGGATCACGGGTTGAAAAAAGGAAGCTTTTAAGATTCAAAGCACCCTTAAAGCTGTCTTTATTGCATGACAGTATTATTCACGGTTGGCGGAGCAGACAAGGAAGCCGTAAAGATGCATTAAACGCTTGCAGGTTCCCACCCTTCCGGCGACTCATTGCGAAGGAAAACAGGAACAGTCGCGCTACCATCATCACTTCCACCAGCCTCGCACCGTCTGCTCGGCTGTTGGCGCCGACGAGAGCTCCTGCAGCGATTTTCCCATGACAGATGAGTATGTGCGTCGCAAGGCCGGAGGCAATCGAACATCCTTCCACTCAGATCCGACGCCTCACTTGCGCCAAGACACCGTCGAGTCTATCAATGAGCTCACGCGGAGTCTGGACATGGGCGGATGGCGATAGACTCCACACTTCAACTGCATGCCAAAGAGATTGCTCAGTAAACTTGTTCTGTGATAGCATCCCATCGTCCCCAGATGCACCATATAAATCACATTCAACTAAAAATTAGCAACTTTATGTCCCCCCTGGAATGTGTCCTCATGTGGTGTACTCAACAAAGAACTCACGTGTTTGCCGTTATGTGTAAGCTCTTTTGACAGGGTGTTTTTCTCCCATTGCATGTTCGCTCCCAAATGTAATTTTGTACCACCAGGTAAAGATAATAAAAGGAAGTATTTATGGCAAATTAAATGGTCTCTCCTTCACGTCACTGTGCACCCATATTCAGGACACAAAAACTCCTCCACGCCTGGAGATTCACCGCAAAATGGCATCATTAAACATGACTATGGTATGACGGCGAAAGGTGATAAATGCGACATATTTTCAGTAGCTCTCGTTGTTCAAGGCTTCTGCAGGTGGCTGATGACAAAAAGGGGAGGAAAAGCTCCTCAATGAGATGGGATTTGGCCTCATTCCAGTGGAGAGTCTTTGCCGTGGACGAAAACCAAACTTCATGCTCTTGGCTTATGTGTTGCTTAATTAACTTCTCGAAAGAGCTCGAAAAGACTCTCGAAACGAGACGAGAAGCAGCGAGTTGTTAAGATGGCTATAAATTTATTCATATAATTGATAAATAGATATCGCCACTTTGTAATTTTTGCATACACTTTGAGCTAAATAAAATGAGATTCAATTTATTATTTGGATCAACTTTGACTTTATGATAATAAAAAGTTGTGTTGAAAGTTTAAGGCCTTGTCGTTATTAATTTCCTGTATGCGGAGAATTGAAACGTTATGTGTAAACAAACTTGGACACTAATCCTCATTTCACTTGAGTGTTATTCTGAGTTCCTAATTTAACATAGTTAGCTTGGACATGGAAGGTAACTGATAAAAAGCTTTCACAGAACCAGGATTAATTCAATTAGGCGTCTCTTTGCCACCTTTCAGTGTGGAAATTTCTACTGCTTCTGTGTCATCACTTTTCACATTCCAAGACCCTCATTGACACACATCTTATTGAGTAATTCTCGGTTCGCTCGTGGGAGTCTTTCCATACTTCTCATCTACGCTCAAGTGCACAGTTCAGGAATGTTAAATATAGGGCGAATCAGGGACAATTTCCACACATGCTCTAATAACGCCACCACATCTTTGCATGCATTACATTTTCATTTTTCACAGAGCGAGGCACATTTGCTGTTTCCATCGCTTCACACCAAAACGTGCTTCAATTTCCGAGATTACCCAGAGTTTCAGCACACCTCATATAAACACTGCGTAATTTAGGCGAATATATTAGTTTTCCTCAATACCCGCAGTGGGTAAATATTTTGAAAAGTTGCCTCAAAGAATGACTCATTATCATCCTCTAACCCCTCTGACCATTATACCTCAGGGTGAAAGTTTAAACTGTGTCATTTGTCTGCCTATGGTTTGCCGTTTGACTCTTTTCAAGCTTTTCAATGGGGATGGACTTTCCCAACAACTTGTTCATGAGACATCAGCGACGATAAAGTGAAAAGGATAGACTCTTGTCCATGAATGTTAATTAACTGGTGAATTTGACTTGATAATTAATGACTTGGATTAATTACATGAAAGTGATACTAATTTCTCGACTGTGGCTTACACCATAATTTGCCATTATCAGCTGAAACATGAACCAATTCTTTGTGGAAAATGGCAAATGTTGGAATTTCAATTTAATTGAATAAATTTGAGTTGGCTGAATACTTTAAGGCTATTAAAATTTACGCATTGAAGAACTGAGAAAAGTCCTAATTAACATTTATAATTAATTACAGATCGATTTAATTAGGCATTTCAGAGTTTTGGAGTTCATTCAAAACTTTAAATGAAATTTGATATTGTCAAATATTAAATGATTTTATATTTAATAAACGCTTAAATATTATTTTTCCCATAGGATGTGTATTTTCATTCGGAATAACAACAATAGATAAAAATTGCAAAATATTTGCCTTTGAAATATTGTGGCATAACAAACAATGATCAGAACTTTTCTATTCCATTTAAATATAGAGAGATTTTTTTTTATTTTACCTAGTAAATTGTCATATTAAAATTAATAGATCAGCGAGTGACTCTTTCATTTTGCCCAAAGAAGTGCAAATTTAATTGGATTATCTGTTTTTTCGTGTATGTTTTTGAATTGAAGACCATCATGGGAGTAACACGTGCACTACTCTGTGATGAACTAAACTTTTGCCATGTGTTTGCCTATTGATTCAACTCGTAGTAGGTATTAATGAAGCATGGCAAACAAGCTCTCGACTTGCATATAAATTACTAGTATACATATTTGCAGTAATTCTTCACGGGCACGAAGCTTTTGAAGTATACTCGCTATAACGATAATGAAGTAAATGTAAACGTAAATATTTAAGTGTTTATATCCTTTACACCGTAATGCAATGAAAGGAAAAGCATTTTACTGACGATTATCAAGGCGATTACTATCTGCAGGAAACAGAAGGTATGCTCAAGAGCACATTCTCTAATAAAATATTCAAAGCCAACTTCATTTAGAGAAGCATTTTACGAGTTCTCTTGCAAGCACCGTTTTTCATCTAATTTATAGTCTTTCTAGTGTTTATCTTAAGTGTCCATATAATCCTTATGCTTGATAGAGCTTTTGAGTTTGCATTAATAGTTTAACGATATTTTATTAGCACAAGCTATAAAGCGCATCAAATGCAGATTTGTGTACATCCATTTGTCGGTAATCATATAAGCATATTTGCCCATCACCGCATATTAATAGTCAATTTGCAAATGTTTGTTGTAGGAAATCGATGCGGAGCACCATTTGATATGTATCAAGTGGGAAAACATTAAGCTTTGCAGCATGAGACGCATAGCAATTTTCTTCAATAGGTAATTTTATTTACGATGTTAGATATTCTACATGCATGCCTTCCGAAGTCTGCGTCTGAAGAGTCCCTATTAGTGTGTGTACGTGGGTGTGTGAGCTATCTCTGTTGTAAGGGGTTATATGCAAGTTCGCATAAATACTTCATAAAATGAGAATTTATGAGGATTTCTGGAAATTTCCCCCGTAAAATTTTCACACTTTCCACGCACCATACAAGATACAGAAGACACATTCCATGTACGTGGATGGGTAACCTTAGATGATGTCTGATAACATTTGATCATCTTGCTTAAATGTTTCACAGGCAATTTTCACGATGATGGTGGAAGGGCGCTCAATATAAGGGATATTTAGCGTGTCTTTTTGCCATGAAGAAACCTGAGCTTTTATGACAGATTTTACGATGGAACGTGGCCAATATAATATTCTGTTAATAAGCTTCAGCAGCTTAAACAAGCATGTACATTCATATAATTCACTTATAGAGTGAATTCTGCTCTCCATCTCTTGCATATTGGCTTCAATAACCCAAAGAGGAGGAATTTTAATCAAAGTTTTTGGGATTCCTCTATGTAAGTGGTTTAGTGGACATTGATTTTATCGGTACGGAAAATTCATTTCCCGGAAGTTGTTAACCCAAAAACTTTAAGAGCTTACAAAGATCAGAGTTTTAATGGATTTTAAAGATGATTTAATATTCAATTGATGGTTTATAGATCGATATAACTCCATTTTCTGGCATCTTTGCAAGTCTGAAACTTTGATTCACACTTTTATTTTCAACTTTCGTGATTGATGATGACGGTTTTAAGGATTTCACATGCATGAACTACTTAAAACCTTAATAAAGGTGAACTAAAAGTTTTATTCTTCATAAATATCACTCCATTATTATTTTCATTGTGAAATTACATTTAAAAATTTAATTTGTTAAAGCAATCTCTGCCCATTTACGGCATGAAATGTGAATTAAATATTCGTGTATATTTTAGCTTCATAAATATAAATCTAATTACATTACAGGCATCAGTGCAAAACATGTTTGTGAGAAGCCAATATTTGCGACACTTCCAATCATATATTCGGTAAATTATATTGAGAAGAGAGCTATAAAATTGGTCATTTAATAGATAACGTAGCATAATTATAAACCACACGCAGCGATTTATTATACGATATTAAATGTGGTATTAAACAATTAAATGGTTAATTTGTGGCTCGTTTGTGAAAATTGATATAGACTTTCCAGGAAATGTTATGATTATGTTTGTGTGATAAAATCAAAGTGATTTCTATATAATTTCAATTAATTAATTACTCAGATTATGTACAAATTTGCTACCTCTGCTGCGTAATTTATAATTTAATTTGCAAATCACATTAATCTTAGCAATATCAAAATATTTTTCCGCGAACGTAGAGTAAATACCTTGGAAAATACCATGGAAAAAAATGTTATTATTGGTCTCTGACAATTTCTTCTCTCACATACCATACCTTGTGGCACATTTATATGAATTCCAACCCGTTGGTGGATATGTTATTACGTAACAAATCCAATATCACCGTGCGATGTCGTACCTTCAGGGATTGTACCCAAAATGCCTAAATATTTAAAAAGACAACATTACAAGAAGCCCATAAATTGATTTGGTTTATTTTGGCACTGTGACGGCTCCTAAAATCTACAGAAATCCCACACAATTTGTAAAAGCTATACTATAATAGTCTATTTTATGCTTTTCTCCCTTCTTGTCCACACAACATTGACACGAATTGCTCCCTGGACGGTGATAAAATTCGCAGAAGAATCGACAAAGCAATGTTGAAATTACCCACTGTGAGTTGTTTTCCACGCCATCGAGAAAAACACCCACATGACCACAATTTGCGCTGAATAGTGCTATATTTGTGGAAAATCTGTGTGTCGATGGGTTGTTCTGTGATATCACTTAAGTTCTGAAATTCACCCTCACGATTCTGGGTGAACATTTGCTTTCTCAATTGTCTTTCCTTCTCACTCCACATCGTGGTGGAAAAGGGCTTCGTGGATATTTTCCAAGATATTTTCAATAGAAGGAAATTGTGCCAAAAATGGGGCACATTTAGAAAATTTGTATGTATGTTTTGTGTGAGGAAAAACAGATATCAACACGTGCGACCCAAAAATGATTTTTTTTTGTATATATTGGAATATATTGTGTTTCCGAAAAGAAAATCCTCCAAAATCTCCTGCATGATTGGACCAGATAGAAGGTTTTTCGCGCATTATAAACACTCCTTCGTGAGCAAATATTTAGGCAGAGAAAGTGAAAAAATGCAGACTTTGCAGAA